TGATGTCAAGAGAGGGGTTCGGCAGGGTGATACTATTTCACTGAAACTCTTCAATGCCACCCTCGAGAACATCATGTGACAACTGGAATGGGAAGGAATGGGAGTGAAGATAGATGGTCGGCAACTACACCACCTCTGCTTTGCTGATGACATCGTTCTAATAACACCAAACATTAGCCAAGCGGCACAAATGCTGGCTGACTTTGACCGTGAGTGTGGAAAGGTCAGACTACATCTGAATCTCACGAAGACAATGTTTATAAGAAACAGCCTCGTTCCTGACGCTCCATTAGCTCTCAATGGAACGACCATCTCTGAATGCAACAGTTATGTGTACCTAGGTCGAGAAGTCAACATGACAAATGATCTGACACCTGAGTTGTGCAGGAGGAAGAGAACAGCTTGGAACACCTTCAAGAGCATCGAAGAAATAGCTAAGAGGACGAAGAACCTCCAGCTCCGGGCACATCTCTTTAATTCCACTGTTCTTCCTGCATTAATATATGCCTCAGAGACCTGGGCCCTACGAAAAAAGGATGAGAACCTATTCGGGTCTCCCAAAGAGGAATAGAAAGAGCTATGTTTGGAGTATCATGCTTCACTCAAATGAGAGAAAGAATCCGGAGTTCCAACCTCCGTCAATGATCAAGAATCAAGGATGCTGTCTCGTTTGCCAAGGCATCAAAAATCAGATGGGCTGGACATGTAATGAGATTTGGAGACGACCACTGGACTAGCGTCGTTTACCGACTGGATTCCACAGAACATCAAAAGACTGTATGGCCACCCACCTACGAGATGGTCAGACTTCTTCATCAAGACCCTGAACAATCGGTTTGAGGCTCTTCGTGTTCCTAGAACGAACAGATGCCAATGGGCTACAGTAGCACGCGACAGGGACAAATGGAGACATTACTGGCGCCCGCTTGAGCAAATCGATGATTAACGGGAAGTCAAGTGATCAAGTGATCAATAGTTCTAAGATTTTAGGGTCTACAGAAATCGCTGCACACTCAAAAGGAGAGAGATAACAAAAGGGAATGCCCTGCCACAGTGGTAAGATGCGATGGGGGGAAGGAGGGTGGGAGGGATACTGGGATTGGTGGTGGTGGAGAATGGGCACTGGTGGAGGGATGGGTATTCGATCATTGTATAACTGAAACCCAAGCACAAAAATTTGTAAGTCTACAACTGTACCTCATGGTGTTTCACTAATAAAAATTTAAGGAAAAAATAAAAAAAAGAAAAAAAGAAAAAAAAAGAAATCGCTGCAGCAAATTGCTCAGATCTGAGATTTGTGTGTTTCTGGATCATGGCCATGTGGGAACTTAAGTAGATGGTGGGTGGTTGTGGCATCATCTCAGAGTCCCATGGGTTACTCCTGGTGGTGCTCAGGGGACCATATGGGATGCTGGGAATCGAACCCAGGCCAGCTGTGTGCAAAGCAAATGCCCTACCTGCTGTGCTATCGCTCCAGCCCTATATATTTTTCTTTTTTAATTGCTGGCCCACACCAGGCAGTCCTCAGGGCTTACTTCTGGTGCTATGCTTAGGGATCAAGCCTGGCAGGACTAGACAGACTGTATGTGGTACAAAGGATCAAACCTGCATCAGCCATGTGCAAGGCAAATGCCCTATCTGCTTTGCAGACCTATTCATTTCTCTTTTTTTAAATCACACTCCTGGCAGTGCTCAGGAGACCATGCAATGTTAGGGATTAAGCCAGTTCTTCCATACATAAAAGCCAAATGAGCTGATGCTAGCCGTCCGGCCTTCTGTTCTACTGCCTGCACTCAGGGCTAGGAAATTCTCTCTAGGTACAACTGTTGTAACTGAATGCCACATTTGAATAAGTTGCATTTTATTTTTTTAGCAAAAATATCTTCAAATTCCTTTTCTTTTTCTTTTGACCTATGTGTTATAAGAAGTGTGTGGTTTATTTCACAATACTTAGTATTTTTCTATCTGTTCTGCTATTAATTTCAATATTTTAAAGTCTGATTTTGCAATTTTGTCAAAACAAAGACTATGTGGGGGAAATGACTGATTTAAGGAGGGAAAACTTGCTTGCAAATACACTAAATACCACTAGATCACTCACAGTCCTTGGGCCATCTCTCCAATCCCCAGAATGACATTTTTATAGTGTCACTATAAAATCACTCACAAACTGACAATGGAAAGAATTTTTCTAGGCTTAACTGAACATTACTGGCAAATAAAAAAAAAGTAGTTTTTCTGCTGCTGTGAAACCTCTACAGGCCAAAACACAAACATGAAGAAAACTTATCAGCAGCTTCCTCCCAGACACCAAACACCCAGGCCAGAGAGCACAGAGGGGAGGGTACCAGCCTCACATGCAGCCAGGCAGAGTTTGACCCCAGCACTGCACATGGTCCCCAAGTCTCCCCAGGAGCAATTCCTGAGCACAGAGCCCGGAGTAAGCCCTGAGCACTGCTGGATGTGACCCCAAGACAAAACAAAAACCTCTTGTTTATATGTATATTGTCTGAATAATGAGATGAGATGAGAATGCTGTTCGAGTATCCCAAAGAGGAATTGAAAGCTATGCTTGGAGTATCACGTTTCACTCAAATGAGAGAAAGAATCCGGAGTTCTGACATCCGTCGACGATCAAGAATCAGGGACGCTGTCTCATTTGCCAAGGTGTCGAAAATCAGATGGGCTGGTCACGTAATGAGATTTAAAGATGACCGCTGGACTAGAGCTGTTACCGACTGGATTCCACGGCATGTCAAAAGACCGCGTGGCCGCCCACCTATCAGATGGTCAGGCTTCTTCGTCAAGATCATGAACGATCGGTTTGAGGCTCTTCATGTTCCCAGAGCGAACAGATGCCATTGGGCTACACTAGCACGCGACAGGGACAAAGGGAGACGTTACTGGCGCCCGCTCGAGCAAATCGACGACTAACGGGAAGTTAAGTGTGATTAAGTGATTGTCTGAATAAGCACACATGCCTAATTTTAACTCAGTTTCATGCGCACTATAAAAATGTCATTCTGGGGATTGGAGAGATGGCCCAAGGACTGGAGAAAACGCTCTGCATGGAGGTCCGGTTCAACCCCCAGCGCTAGATGGCCTTGACCGAAGCGCTGCGTGGGGCTGACCTGAGCACCAAGTTAAAATAGCCCCCACACCCCCGGCTCGTTCCTTACTGAACCGAACTCTTCACCTGGTTGCAAGGGCTCCTGAGAGCAAGCAACAGCGGCCATTAACTAGCATCTGCTGGACTCATGCCAGACTCCACAATCTCGGGGAATACAGACACACCCCTGAACAGAGTCAACACCTGTCAGTCGGCTGACGGACCCTTTTATAAAGTTCTGACTTTCGGGGCCGGAGTGACAGTACTGGGTAGGATGCTTGCTTCCACACTGCCGACCTGGGTTCGATTCCTGGCGCCACATATGGTTACCCAGGCCTGCCAGAAGTGACAGCCCAGCACAGAGCTAGGAATAAGCCCCGAACACAAGGGCGTGTGGCCCCGGTCCTCCCCACCCCTAGGAAACAAACGGTCGTTGCTCTTTCTGTCTCATTTTACTACTTACTTACCAAAGCAAGACACTGAAGCCTGCATTTACGGCACCAATGCCAGACGGGAACTCACTGGGGAACATTCTGTCTCTTACCCCCCTAGGAACCTTGACCCAGTAGTGTTTGCTAATGAGTCATACCTCAAACCCAACCTGAAGGTTATGAAGCAAGGCATAATAGCACCAGTTTAGCTCTCCTTTAGGAAACAATCCCTTTCTGAAGCAAAATCAGTTTAGAAAAACTTTGTGTATTAGACAGCATATTTTTGGATCCAATGGGAACAAAGGGTGTCTTTTTTAAAAAATTTAATCACTGACAGATATAGTTACAAAACTTCTCATGGTTGGGTTTCAGTCTGGCAGGTCTCTTTCAGTCTCTCTCTCTCTTCTTCTCTCTGCCCCCCTCACCATCCCCCCCGCCCCCCCCCCCCCAGCACTATGGTTAGCAACACAGATACCGAGAGGTTTTTTCATGTTTGTTCCTTCACCTACTTTCAGCATGCAGTTCATGTCCAGAGCGATCATTTCCAACTAACTTGGACATAATGGTCTCTTCTCTATACCAACTGCCTTCTCTCCCAGCACTTGAGGCAGGAGTCCAACCCAGTTCTCCTGGCCCTTGTTTCTACCATCTGTGGGTATTAGTCTCTTTTTATGTCTTTTATATATCCCACAAAAAGGGTGTCTTTAAAACTCTGCTGGAATGCCTGCAATGATGTATAAGTTAGAGAATTAGATTTAGAATTACAAGAAAAATAAAAAAGGCTAGCTTTGGTGTTAGATTTAAGGATAATACAAAGTCACGTGCACATTGTATTCATAGATACTAAAGTTTAAATCAGCCAGTCTGGCTGCACCATGTTCAATGACTGGCTGAATCTCTGTATTTCAGCAAATCAGGCAATAAGTTCCTGAGGGGGAGGGACCACGTTCTGATCAGCTTCCGATTCTTCCAACACACACCACTGTTTAATGTCCACTCATAGAAAAGATTAAATTCCATCAAATAAGTGAGGGCACGTTTAAAAAAGCTAATTACAAGGGCCAGAGAGATAGTTAAGGAGCTTGCCTTACATGAGGTCAAGCGCGTCAGTTTTATTTCAGGTCATCATATATGGTCCGCTGGCACCATCGGGAGTGCTCCCTGAACAGAGGCAGGAAGAAGCCCCAAGAACCACTGGGCATGACCTCAAAACAAAAACCATAAACAAATTAATAAAGGGCTAGGGAGATCGCTCAGTGGGCTGAGCGCATGGCTGCCTGGAGAGACCTGAATTTGGTCCCTGGCACTACACCCGCTCACTCAACTATCTCTTGGCCCATCCTGAAGCACAGCCCCAGCACAGAAGCACCACCAGGCATGGTCCACGTCCAAACAGTGCCAGTCATACCCACACTTCAGTAAGAGTATCAGGGAGGAAGAGAAAAACATCCAGCCCAGGCTCACCCAGTGACAAGTTTAATAGAACACTCTCCGCACGTTTAAACAAGAGTGATGTGCGTGTTCAACCGTGCAGTCGTGCTCACATCAGGGCTTTGGGTGCCAGTGCAGTACCAGCTCCCCCGTGCTCTTGAGACATGTGTGGGCCATGTCCTCCTCTGCAGGAAGTCCTTGGGGCAGCTTCAGGGGCTGGATTCTGTGACATAAGAAAATCTTTTAGAATCACACAAGGCAACATTTTTTAAAGCTACAGAAATAAGAACAAACCTTATCAAATGTTTCACCACTTTGAGTTTTGCATTCACTGAAGGGATATTCTTGTGAACTTGAGGTGTATGTGCCTATAAACAAAGGAAATGATGTTATGGACGGTCCCAGACTCAGTAAAATGTAACATGAAGGTACATTCTATCTACACCAAATTTCAAGAGACTACACCAGTGCAAATAAAATAACAAAAATATAAAGTACCAATTTTCAAACAAATCCTAAAGATCAAAAGGACTGTATACTTGAGGCCAAGCTATAGCACAGGTGTTAGGGAGCTTGCCTTGCATGCAGCTGACCTGGATTCGGCTTCTGGCATCCTAGCTGGTCCCCCAAACCCCGCCAGGAGTGATCCCTCAGCACGGCCAGGTAGGCCCCCAAACCAACACAATTAAAATTAAAATATTACATACTTTTTCTAATCCAAGCATCTTTATTACATCTTTTTCCCAGTATGGACGTCTTTTTGTACTTTTTATTCGGGTAACAATATGCAATTTATGAGGATGCTGTGGATCTCCACCATATTTTTCATGATCTGCAGGTGAAGGCTGAAACACCTAGAAAGGAAGAGTTTTAACTGGTCAAATTTTAACTTAAGTTTCTAGGTACCTCTTTGTACCCGCTCGCCCCTAAAAAAACACCACCACCATCAAACAACTACATAATCATCCCTGGTGTTTCCAGAACCCTCATCACAAACTGAATCTTTCTACCAGTAAGGTTTCTCATAGAAATGAGAGTCTATGAGTTTCATATTCCAAGGAGAATATCATACAAAGTTTTTTCACTTTTTTATTAAAAGATGGCAGCTAGGGGCTGGAGCAATAGCACAGCAGGTAGGGCATTTGCCTTGCATGTGGCCGACCCGGGTCTGATTCCCAGCATCCCATATGGTCCCCTGAGCACCGCCAGGAGTAACTCCTGAGTGCAGAGCCAGGAGTAACCCCTGTGCATTGCCGGGTGTGACCCAAAAGCAAAAAATAAAAAATAAATTAAAAAAATAAGAAAATAAAAAGATGGTAGCCAGAAGCACTGAGGGGCACTAAAGCATTCAAACAGCAAGAGGATGAACACTATGAAAGCTGGGGAGGGGATAACGCCACCTACTTTACAGAGGAGAAACAGTCAACAGCAAACACCCAGGGGCTCCCCTAACCTCAGAGCGTACAATTGTCACCAATGGGACTTAAGCCCCAGCTTCCTTTCATGGGCTCCCAGCATCATGCGTGTTCCTAGTGGCTACTGGGCAAATTACACTGTGAAGCCCTGGCAGGCCTCCCAGAACTCCTGAAACACAGAAGCCAGTCACTGCTACATACTCACAGCAAACCCCTGCCCACCCCTGGTCTGTCTTAAGTTGGTCACAGGTGCTGTGCACTCAGCTCCCGAAGCCCTGGTCTCTGTCCAGGCCCACCTGGACTCAGTGGTGGCATAGAAGACCTGTGACCACATCTCCCTGGTCACTGCACAGGTCCAGGCCCAGACTTACACGGATGACTTCGACTTCAAGCTGGAAAAGGTGACAAAATATGGTGCAGATGTTACACAATGAAGGGGCTCTCCATCAGGAGGTCCTAACTGATTACTACATGTACAATGAGAAGGAGCTTCAGTCTATATAAAGCAGGATCGGGAGAGGGGGGAGGGGAGTGGGGGGGAGGGGGAGAGTGGGAGTGTGTGTGTGTGTGAGAGAGAGAGAGAGAGAGAGAGAGGGAGGGAGAGAGAGAGAGAGAGAGAGAGAGAGAGAGAGAGAATGTGTGTGTGAGAACCTTTAATGAAACTGACAGCAACATAAGAGGTAGGGGATTACCCAGTCCTGTCTGGAAAAATCAACATGGCAGTAAAAAATAAGAACATAACCTCATTTGAGGAGTTGGAAGGGTTGTGCTTAACGGAACACACAGGGCGCTTTACTGCTAAGAAGTCCAGCACATGTTCTTCTCTAGTAGCACTAGCACTATCTTCCCATTATTCACTGATTTGCCCAAGTGGGCCCAGTAACGTCTCCATTTTGAGACCTGTTGTTTCTGTGTTTGGCATATTGAATACGTCACAGGGAGCTTGCCAGGCTTTGCCTTGCGAACAAGATATCCTCAGTAGCTTGCTGGGCTCTCCTAGAGGGGCAGAGGAATCGAACCCAGCTTGGCCGGGCTAGCTGCGTCCAAGGCAAATGCCCTACCTGCGGTGCTATCGCTCCAGCCCACTCAAATGCACAAGTAATAAAATTAAAAATAAAACTCCAAATAGGATTGCATCAAGCTACAAGCTTCTGTCCAGAAAAGATAGCAATCAAAGTGGCAAACTAAAAGAAGAAAACACCATACACCATACATCTGATTAAAAAATATATGAGAGGGGCTGGAGCGGTACCAAAGCGGGTAGGGCCTTGCACAAGGTAGGCCTTGCACATGGCCGACCTAGGTTTGATTCCCAACATCCCATATGGTCCTGTGAGCACTGCCAGGAGTAATTCCTGAGTGTATAAGCCAGGAGTAACCCCCTTGCATTGCCGGGTGTGACCCAAAAAGCAAAATAAATAAAATATATATACACATATATATATATATATATATACACACACATATATATATAAAAGATAAAATAAGATCCAGGAGATGGAGTGATAATACAGCAGGCTGGGTGCTTACCTTGAATGCAGCCAATCCAAGTTCCATCCCCAGCACCAATATGGTCCCTAAGGACCCCCAGGAGTTATCCTTACAACCTGAACTCCTGCAAGGCTGCTTGTGTGCAAAGCTGTGTAAACTCACACAAATTGGGGGGCACGGCACCCACAGCGGCGGTGGCTCTATCTCTCCCGCCGCCCGCGTTCGGTAGTCTCACCCTTCTCCCACCCCAGAGAGGTCGATGGCGATGGTCAGGCAGAGGAAGGAACGAGGGCCAGGCTGGTAGGTATTAGTCGTAGTTTATTCTGATTCTCTCCTCATCTCTCTCTCTATCTCTGCCCCCATGCTACTTCATTCTCCTTCTCCATCCCCCTTCATCCTCCTCTTCCTTCTCATCCTCTCTGAACTCTCTTCTTCCTTCTGCCCCAGCCCACTCCTACAGTACAGTTAAATCCTCTCTCCATGATGAATTGGGGAAACAATTACACATAGGTGTGGTCACAATCAATAGGGGTAGAGATCAACAGGGGTAGAAATCTTAGCCTCAGGGAAGACCGCTCCTAGGACAGATCCTTCCTCAGCAGGAGGACCCACCCTAGAGCAGAATCCCATGGGCGTGCCTCTCCTCTCCTTGTCCGACAAGCATATAAAAATATAATATAAATCATTTTGTATGGATACAGTAAGAAATATCTTAAACTTATAGAATTGCTCTCCTAGGGCCATCTCGATCTCAGACTACAGTGCTCAGGCCAGATAGTCTTTCCCACCCCTAGCAGGATCCTAGTCTTGTCGTTACCTTTGGATCATGACAGCATTTGTCTATGATCAAACTCTTAACTTATAGTTAAGAATCGTGGCACTTTGGCCTGGCCCATTTCGCTGCCAGGGTAGCTCACTGCTTGCCCTGGGTCCATTCAGTCCCTCGTCGGGACCCTGCTTTTGGGGTGTTAGGAACTAAGGGCAACTGAGGCTAAGTCAAGAAAGCAGATGCCCGGGAGTGAATAATATTCAAGGCCAATCAAATCCTAAGTTACAAAGCATAATGTTAACGGTCTTTCTGTATCTATACAAAAAGGATATTACTTTAAAGTAAACTGTTCATAAGGCATAAGGAGAGGAGAAAGGCAATATTTCACTCATACATATAAAATCATAGATTTCTGGGAAACTGATCTTACAAATTAACAAAGTCTGATTAAGGGGAAAGCTGATTAACTGGGTGGGAAGGAGAGCATAGGGAAGACTGTTTACATGTTTACATGTAAACACAATGGAAGTGGAAGTGCTTCAGGAGCACTGTGATGGGTGTAACCAGATTGATGGGTGTAACCAGATAAACCTAAGTTTCTTGTGGAAGGACAGAGCAATGTTACCCAACACAAAGCCGAGGGGTAAATGTGACTTTTCCACAAGCCAAGGGGTAAATGTGACTTTTCCTCTAGTATACAAGGAATATGCTCTGGCACAGATATGTAAGTGAGGAGGGAAGTCATTTCAAGGATCTTTTTGGATCACCAGGGAATAAACTAGAAACCAACCAAAAAAAGAAAGGTGGAAAAAAAATGGTAACTTATAGTGACTAAGCAACATTTTACTGAATAACTATTGGGTCAACAAAGAAATCAAACGGGAAATAAAAAAATAATCCTAGGAATAAATGAAAATAAAGACATTTGCTACAAGAATATGTGGAAAGTACATAAGAATAAAAAGAAAACCACAGCACAATCTCCCTAAGGAGCACAGACACAAACATCCTCAACAAAATCTCAGTAATCTACATTCAACAATACAGAAAAGGATCAACCAAGTGGGGTTTATATACCAATTAAGTATATCACATCAACGAAAGATAAAAATCATAATGATCAACAGATTCAGCTTTTTGACAAGATTCAACATCTGTCTGTGATCTTTAAACAATGAATTCACTACTGTGGGGACAGAGGGAATACACCTCACCACAGAAAAGCTCAATGTCACACAGGAGCTATAATCCTCAATGGAGAACATGGGCAGTTTTCCTATATGTAAGACAGCACAAAATAAGATGTTCACCCTCTCCACTATGGTAAATATAGTATTTACTAGAAATCCTAACTCCAGCAATTTTGCAAGGAAAAGAAAGAAAAGGAAAAAAAATATAAAGGAAAAAGACTATCACTGTATTTAGATATTATAATATACATAAAAATAAAGGTTTCACTAAAAAACTATTAAAAATAACAAACCAATACAGTGAAATGTCAGGAAACAAAATCTGTATCTAATAACCCATTTTGTTTTATTGCGTGCAAGCAAGTAAGGGGGGAAATAATCAGTAAAACTATTTTACTTAAAAAGTGCATCAAGGGACAGGAGCAATAGCACAGCAGGTAGGGCATTTGCCTTGCACGTGGCTGACCCGGGTTCAATTCCAAGCATCCCATATGGTCTCCCAAGCACCGCCAGGAGTGATTCCTGAGTGGAGAGCCAGGAGTAACCCCTGGGCATTGCCGAGTGTGACCCAAAAAGAAAAAAAAAAGTGCATCAAAAGAATTAAGAACCTAGGAATGAACTTATCAAAGAAGGTGAAACATTCTACATAGACAATTACAATTATATTGTTAAAAGAAAGGAAAGGTGGGGCCAGCGAGCACAGTGGGTAGGGTGCTTAACTTGGACGCCACTCATCGGGTTTGGTCCTGGCATTCCATCTGTTTCCCCCCCCCCCCCCCCCCCCCCAGCACTACCAGGAGTTAATTCCTGAGTGAGGAGTCAAGAGTCAGCCCTGAGCACCACCAGGTGTGGTCCCAAAACCAGTGAAAATAAAAAGGAACGGGAGACACTGTAAATGCAGATATCTCTCCTCTGTCACTGGTCTGAAGAAGTAACACTGTCAAGTGACTGCCCTCCCAAAGTAGGAGAGAATCAGTGCAATCCCTGTCATTAATTCCAGGGGCATTCTATTATCTATTTTATTCTGGTTTGGGGGGTGTATCTGTCTGTGCTCAGGGGCCACTCCTAGTGGTATTAAGGACTCTATGCATGCCAGGGTGGAGCCTGGGTGAACCCTGTGCAAGGCAAATGCCTTATCCCTGAGCGAACTCTTGGCCCCCCAAAGGCATTCTCTAAGGAAGCAATTAGTATGGAATTACAAAGACCCAATAACCAAGCAATTTTGACTATCACGGTCCTCCCGTTGTTCATCGATTTGCTCAAGCGAGCCCAGTAACATTGTGAGACTTGTTACTGTGTTTTTGGCATACCGAATACATCACGGGTAGCTTGCCAGGCTCTGCCGTGCGGGAGAGATACTCTCAGTAGCTTGCTGGGCTCTCCGAGAGGGGCGGAGGAATCGAACTCGGGTTGGCCATGTTGGCTGCATGCAAGGCAAACGCTCTACCCACTGTGCTATCGCTCCAGCCCAAGAAATTTTGATTAAAAAAAAAGCAAGAATGGAAGTATCATGCTTCCTCACTTCAAACTGCATTAAAAGCTATTTTAAGAGATGGCGGTCAAACGCTATAGAATCAAAACAAGGTGAAACTGAAATGAAAGTAGACGCACTTCAGGAAAATGGAAAGCGTGTGCAAAAGAATGGAGTTGGATCTCATGCTACTCAAACGCTAACTCAAAGCCAGTTAAAGATTTGTATACTTGTCCCGAAACCATAAACTGCACTAACACAAACACAGACAGGACCAGGGAGGTAGCGACAGGGATAAAGTTCATGCCTTGCATGCTGGTATCCTGGGAGCACGGCCCAGTAAAACCCCAAGGCAAAAACACTCTGTGATTGGGCTGGAGCGACAGCACAGTGGGTATGGCGTTTGCCTTGCACGGAGCCAACATGGCCAACACAGGTTCGATTCCCAGCATCCCATATGGTCCCCCGAGCACCGCCAGGAGTGATTCCTGAGTGCATGAGCCAAGAGTAACCCTTGAGCCATCGCCGGCTGTGACCCAAAAAGGAAAACAAAAACAAAAACAAAAAAAACACTGTGATTACGGACTTCCACGATGCATCTGGGGATTCAACTTCAGTGTTAAAAGAAAATTAAAAATAAATGGATGATATCAAATCAAAAAGCTTCTGTATGGACAAATAAATAATTAAATCATTCCTCACAGCATGTCTGACAAAGGGTTAATACTCACAAAACTCAACAAGAAGAGAACCTGGACAAAAAATGGGAAGAGGGCTTGAGACAGGACAGGGGAGAAGGCCTGGTCCACACAAGGCTGACGCGGGGTCAATCCCTACTGCACAGACTGTCCTGAGGGCCAATGGGAGTGACCCCAAAGCACGAAGCACAGAGCAAGCTGAGTACGATCTGGTGTGCCCCCCCCCCCCACCAGAAAAAACAAAAAAGAAGAAAGTATGCATAGGTACTTCTTCAAAGACATAGAACACACACACACACACACACACACACACACACACACACACACACTCCCCTGGCCCTGCTCAACATCATTCTCAGGAAATGCTGTGATGCAACCTCTCTAAACAACCCTAGAAAGAGCAAGGGCTGACAGATGTTCAGGAAATGGAGCCGTCAATTCACTACTGGCTCAGTCTCTCTGGAAAGCAGTCTGACGATCTGTCAAGGTATTACAAGAGATGTGCTGGGACAAAGACTTAGTCCAGGAGTAAAGCACTGGCCTTGCAGACTTCCCATCCTGGGTCAAATCCATGGTACCACAGATGCTCCCCCAATACCGACAGAGCCCAAAACATCCCACCCAAAAGATATAACACATGATCAGCAATTCTACTACTACACAGCCACCAGAAAAACACGAAAATACTAATTGAAATAATGTCTGCATGCCTCGGTCATTCACTGCAGCACTGTATACAATGGTCAGGCTACGGAAGTGCCCCAAAGGCCAAATGACAGGGAGAAACCATGCCTTCCGTGACAACATGGATGGAACCGGAGGGGTTCCTGCAGAGAAGACAAATACCTGACTCAGGTGGGACATAAAAACAGCTTGGGAATAGACGGTGATATGAAATCAAGTTCTTTAGCTTCTGATCATGAAGCTGAGACTGCTGAGGGCAACATTTTACTAGTTTACATAGGACTATCATTTACATAGGACTATATTATGCTGCTATAATACTACTACTACCTACATTCATAGTGAGACACTGGCATTTATAGAAGTTTTTCAATATTACAAAAGTAGGTAGCTCTGAAAACCTCACATGTTCTTATAAAACAGTAACATTAATTTCTTTTTAAAAGCCCGCCTGTTCTTACTTTATCAGGAATTCTTGACTTGGTAAATTTGTGACGAATCCAATTTGAACAAATGAGTGACTCCACACCTCTTGTTACAATCTAAAATAGAAAATATGCATTTTTTAGAATTCTAAGTGCAGAAATCTATAATCATCAATTTTGACAAGTCTTTTTACATAACTATCAAAAACATTAAATATGTAATTATTAAACCTTTATCTCAGTCCCCTAAAAAATGAATATATCCCATCATACAACTATCATGACAGATGGCAAAAGCATAAATATTGACTATTAAACCAGAACTTGTCTATATATATGTATATATACATACACACATATATATACATATATTAAATGAAATCACTGTGATAGACCCTTACAAAGCTGTTAATAATTAGGCTACAGTTATACAGTATCCCAAAATCCAGTCCTCCAGCAATGTATATTTCCCAGCACCAATGTCTTCAGTTTCCCTCCCATCACTCCCCCATGCACCTCCACCCTGCAGCCTGCCTCTATGGCAGACGCTTTCTCTCTTTTTTCTGTCTTGTTCCACAAGGGGTGGGGCTATGTCCATCTAAACTCTGCTGGCTGAACTGGCCTGCAGGCCGCCACCCAGCCATCGCTAGAGTGCAACAGAGACAAAAGCCAAAGCGAGCCTTCAGCTTTCCTCCTAACCCAGCAGAAAAATCGGCCCCGGTTTCTAGTCCTTGTTTGCCCTCTAGTTTTGCTTCTTCAGGCTGAAGTGAAAGGATTCATTGCCAACCTTTCAAGCCAGGAAACTGCACAGGCAACTTCCTTCAGGCTCTACCCATACCGCAGAGCTGCAGTGACAACCAGAAAACAAGCAGGAAGGAAGGAGGGTGACCGAGAAGAAACCTGGGCACTGAGCTGACCCATACAACACGCTCGCCGCTACGGGCTCAGGCCTTGGTCCCGTCAGTTTCCTTTGGAGAGGTCACACCAGGAGGTGCTCAGGGCCGACTCCTGGCTCTGCACTCAAGGCCAGTCCTGGTGGGGCTCAGGTGCCGGGAGGCCACGTGCAGGGCGAGCGCCTTGGCTGTTGCCCTCTCCACGGAAACATCCCATTCACCCTGGCAGCAGGTCTACAAGGCGGGACTCCACCCTTACGAACAGAGGGACGTGCCATGCTTTCCAGAAGAAACATAGGAGTAAACACTAACACAATTGTGTCTCTTCATTATACTTTTCTGCATTTTTTTCTAATCCAAGATTAAAAGGGTACTCTGCGATTGCAGGGAAGCCCTTCAACTTAAAAAAGATGAAAGTACACAAGCAAAGGCCATTTTTACATATGCTAATTAGCAAAGACAAACGAATAACTGTAAGAAATAGGGGAAAAAAATCTTGACTAGAAATACTCACCTGGAGCGCATATGCTGCCTGAACCCATGTGTGCTTACGCCCACGTGGCTGAGCACACGTGGTGTCCAAGCACATGTGTCGCCCGCATCTCCCCTCTTGAGATGTGTACTTTCATGCTTTCGTGTCTAACTTTACTCGCTCTCTCTCTCTCTCTTTCTTCCCCCACCCCCACTCCACACCTTAAAAATCCTCCAAATAAAATCTATTTACTTAAAAAAAAAAAAAAGAAATACTCACCTGGAGCTGGCCAGGGGGCCTCTGAAGCACGGTGCGCAGGGTCCCCGCCATGGTCCTGCTACGCTCCCTGTCCCCTGGAGGCTGAGAACCAAGAAAGAGCCTGGTAAGTACCTCAGAATGGGCAGGGGGCCCTTTCAGGAGCAAGAGACACACAATTGGAAGCTTGTCCGAAGTTTCCCAGTAGAATCTGGGTTATTTCGTTTGTTTGGGTGTTTTTGGTGGGGGTGAGGTGGGGGTCCCAAGCTGTGCTGGGCCTGCAGGTCTGGGGGGGGGTTGCTCCGGGTGACAGCTGGCCAAGCTCAGTAGGCTGAGGGTGCAGGGGGTGATACTCGGGTGGCCTAATTTGTCCCTGTACAATCTCCCTGGCCCAATCTTGGTTATTTTAATATAAGGGCAGTAATTAAATCAGGATCTGTGTATTATTCTGAATTCGGCAAAGTCACAGACAGCAATTATGCACAGACACATCTTGTTTTCACTGACTGAAGCAGAGAATAGGTTAATTCCATTATATTATCTACCAAATCTGCTTTAGTTCTATCAGTTAAGATTTATTCTTATAATCTTCCATACAATTGAGGACAATTAAGGACAGCAACATCCAACATCCTCACAATTAAGGGTTTAAGAAAACATCATCCACCAACTGTTGGGTCCTGAGTAATCAGGAGCCACCTGGAGGCTGATACTGGCTGGGAGAAGGCTGGATCCCACCGAGTGGGGTGAAGGATCACCTGCTCCCGAGTGCACTTTGTCCTGCTCGCCTTTCTGATGCATGGATGTAACTACATCTTGTTTTCCTCATATCTCCTTAAGATGTGGGGAAATTGTTTTTTATATATAACAAGTAAAAACTGGACATCCCATAGCTGCCACCATGTAAGCAAACGTCCTAGCTCCACTGATCTCAGAAGCGAAGCACGCCAAGCCACTGAAACTCCTGGGTACACAGATGAGCGTCGGGAGGAAAACTAGGGAGCCTTCAGGAGGAGGTGGCCGAGCCCTGCAGCCACTCCCACTGGCCACACATGCAGCAGCCCATGGCCCAACTTCACCACTGACAGAGACTCATCTCTGCAGAGGCCCAGCCGACTGACGTTGTAGGTACCCGGATTTGGCGACTGAGAACTCTGGGGGTCTCCTCTGAGTGGGGCAGGTGGCCTCACAGCCCACTCCAGTGCAGCCACCCCATATCCCAGAGCTGCTGCCACGTAAACAATGGCCCAGCTTTAGAGCTCACCAGTAACCCTGCAAGTGCCGCTCAAACTCATCAGCCCAGTTCCACAGACCCTTGGGCTCCTGGAGCAACACCCCAAAATTCCACAGTACTGACAGCCCAGTAGGTGCACACGAAATCAGATGGGAAAGTAGCACAGAAGCCCACTAAACTCAATAATCAAAAACACACAAGTCTCAGCTAGTAACAAATCTTCAGACAATGACCAGTGATACACTGTGAAAAACAACTGTAAGTGGCCACAAGTCTGAGCTCTGGACTGAGACACACAGAGACATGACAGATGCTTCAAGGTTTTACTCATACACCAGAATACATTCATACAGGGCTGAGGGTTCGCTCCCTGGGCTTGGAACTCTGAGCTGGAGACTCAGTACTGAGGGCTGGCAAGCCTAAGGGACCTGGAATTCTGATGGCCCTCAGGGAGTGTTTAAGCCCTGTGCCCCCTCCCAGGTGCATTCCCCCAGCCATGAGCAAGGAGGTACAGAAGCCAAACACAGCGGTTCACACATCTTGTTCCACTGACTTGAATCACCCCGATTATCTGTGGCGATGTCTGGGCTTTTATGTCCATGTCCTTGGGGTCTGGCATGTTTTTCCTTACTAGCTTGTAAACTCAAGACCCTGAGGCACAAAATGGAGCCACAGACTTTCTTTCAGTAACAATTTTCACAAATTTTCTCCTTTAAAATTAATTTTTTTAAAAAACGGAATCACTGTGAGATAGACAAAGCTGTTGATGACTGGGTTTCATTCATGCAGTATTCCAACACACAAATTTTCTCTTACTGGAGTATTTTTCAATAATTCCTTAACCATATTTTTGGTAACAAGCAATATAAAATAAACTGCTTTGTGTCTGCTAAGGGGGATAGTGGCAAGCAAAAGACAATGGTGGAGGGAAGGTCCATGTTGGAACATAATTTTGGAGTATAAACGCAACCTCAGTCTTTGGATTATTTGTTGAAAATGCCCCCGTGCCCACTGAAATTCTGAAATAAACTTCTGTCCTATACCCCTTCTGTGTCCTGGGTATCTCACTGATTCTGAATTTGGGCATAACAATTAAAATGAAAAATAGGAGTTACTATGATTTGAAAAATGCCTTCTGGGATAGTTAGCTCAAGTAGCTAACTCATGCTTTGATCTGCATGAATTCTGATTTGACTTCCATCTATAAAACATGCATGAATTCAGAATGCCTGGGCTTAACCCCCAGCACAGCATGGTCCCTTGTGCAGCCTGGAAACGGCTCTGGAACAGAGCCTGGAGTGTCCGAGCACTTTCAGGTGCCCTAAACTCAAAGAATCCAGGGGGAAAAGGCCTTCTAGTAAACTAATACCTGCCTGTTAAAGGAAGAGAGCCAGAGATAGCTCAATGGGCTGAAGGTTCCATCCCTGCATGCTGGGAAGAATTCATCTTTCTCCCCCTTGCTGTCCCTTTGACTTTCTACATGTGATGCCACACTGTTGTGGTGTTCACATATTGGGGCGTGAGGGAGGGAGGCGCCCACTGGGGGTCCCTGCCATGTACATACAGGCACTTGTCCGTGGTTGGACTTCCTGGTCATGGTGATGACACACCTTTTTTAGTGATTTGGTCACTTGTATTTTAAAAACATTCTTTTCAGTGGTGGTGGAGAATGGGCACTGGTGGAGGGATGGGTACTCGATCATTGTATAACTGAAACCCAAGTACAAAAATTTGTAAGTCCTCAACTGTATCTCATGGTGTTTCACTAATAAAAATTTAAAAAAAAATAAAACAACATTCTTTTCTTTTTTGGCGATGTCAGGGATGGAACCACCCAGGCCCACCACATGCAAGGTGACTGCTCTACCACTGAACTAAATCCTCAGCACCTTTTAAATGATTCTTCATGGATAAACTCAAAAACTTTTGATACACATAAAATAATGCGACCTCATTATACGGACACACACTGAAGGCAGAAAGTCAGGTTAATGAATTGTACATCTACTGGGTTAGGTTGCTTAACTTGTGTTTCAATTTCTTCCCATAGAATATAAAGCAGAGCTGGGGGACAGCACAGTGGCAAAGTCCCTGCCGTGCAAGCCCGAGTCCCATCCCCAGCACTGTTCCCCACCGTCCAGCTGTGATGCAAGTGCTGGGGTCTCTGGTCATTACAGCAAAGAACAACAGGTGGCAAGGGGATTACATCTTCAAAAGGGAATTGTACCTACTAGGGCCGGGCTGAGAGGACCTTAAGAAGCTCTGCACAGGGCCAACCCACCCCAAATGGTCCCCAAGAGTGATCCCAGAGTACAGAGTAAGGAGTAAGCCTGAATACCACAGGGTTTGGCCCCCAAACAAAAGGAAATCGTAGATATCAAGTGACTGGGTTCTTTTATAAAAAGAAAAACAAAGGAAAAATTCACACACACAAAGGAAACCAACAAAGAGTTTTGAATAAATGTAAGGTGGTATCCTGGATGTGAGTCTGGTACAATGAAAGGACATCAGATAAAATTAAGAATCTCTTGGGGCTGGAGAAAGGCGGGGAAGGGTGTTTGTCTTGCATGCTGCCGACCCATGTTCGAGCCTGGCACCCTACAGGGTCCCCTGAGCCCTGCCAGGAGTGACCCCTGAGCACAGAACCAGGAGGAAGCCCTGACCTCTGAGCACTGCCACGAGTGACCCCCAAACAAAATCAAATTCAGACTTAGCGAAGGTCATTCTTGATAAAAATCAGGCACAGAGAGCTCTGACCAGGAGACCCCCGTCCTCCTCCGCGCGGCAACTACTCCCACACGGATGCAGGAGGGAAACTCGTGCCCCGTCTGAACACCAGGGCTCCAGGGCGTCATTCACGCTTCCAGGGCGTTCCCGCGCGCTGGTCGCGAGCCCGAGAGGCGCACGGCAGGCCCGGAGCAGCGGCCGCCTTCCCCGGACACCGCCCGCCCCGCGCCCACCGAGCCCGCCGGACCCGACGCCCGCGAAAGGCCCGGGACGCACTCACCGAGCAGCGCGGACAGCCGCGGGACGGGCGGCCGCTTCCGGCTCCTCCGGGCCCAGCGCGCAGGCGCGGCGCCCGCCCCGCCCCCTGCGCCCGCCCCGCCCCCCGGAAGTGCGGACGGTGGGCTGCAACCATGGCGGGTCGGGGGCGGCCCGCGGCCGTGGCCGACCGGCGGCCCGAGAACGCGGCCGCCCTCGCCATAATCACGCGGGCCGTGGAGCTGGACTCGGAGTGCAAGTACTCGCAGGCGCTCGTGTGCTACCAGGAGGGGCTGGACCTGCTGCTGCAGGACCTCCGGGGTGAGCGGACGCAGGTTCGGGGCGGGAACGCGCTCCGGGGGCGGGGCGGGATCCCCGGCGGGGGCGGCTTCGGCGGCGGCCTGGCGCCCTGGGGTCCCCGGCCCCGGGTGCTGGAGGCGCCGGGCGCCGAGCGGCCGCGTTCCAGTGAGGGCTGCTGGCGCCAGAGGTAGGCATTCTCTTCGAAACGAGGCTTCGTTCATCGTTTTAGAGATGCAGAACGAAACGATTGGGGAAGAAATGTCAGTTTTCGTTTTCATTTCGCTCGAGGGAAAAATTGAAGCCGAAGACCGAAAGACTCAAATGTCGGCAGTGGACCACGCGGGTGGTCCTTATACCAGTATCCTGACTTTTCCGCTAAACCTGTTGTGTCGCGGGAGGGGAGTTTCGCTCGCACCCTGACCGGACCAGACTCCGCAGGCAAATGCGAGGCCCCTTGGTCTCGCCTAACGCAGTGGAGTCTGGACAAGGACCTCGACTCCAGATTCCGTGCAGTTTAGGTAGGGCTTGGTTCCGGAACAGCATTTTTCTAGGAACGGGCAACAAGTTTCCAATTCTTGGTCCCTGTCCGGTCCCGTGACTCCACTCCCTCGGCTTTCCCTGCCTGGCTGGCCTGCACTGCCCTTGCCTCCCGCTCCAGTGGGCTGCTCCCACTTCCCACGGGCGGTGTGTCTGCCCAGGACGACAGTGTTTTCTGAGAAGTCGGGACTTCCTGATGGGAAACTGAAACTTAGGCCTTCTGAGTTTCGGTCTCACACATTTTCATTAAAAGGGAGCAGATTCGCTTACCGGTGGAAGAAGTGTTTTTTCTTAGAAATAGGTGTGCTGAAATGCATTCTGAGAAATGCTGGGAATTGTAGGCACACACGGCGAGACTTTTTCTACTGTGTAGTTAACAGTATTAGACAGCACCCACGTAGTTCCCCACAGGCCCCTGTACAGAATAGACGTCCGGAAGTTACATAGTAAAACTAAGACCAGCCTGTGCACCCTATGCCATCAGGTGGAGTTTCCTGCCAGCTGGAGGGTGCTGTGCCAATATAGCTCAGTGGTTATAATTTTAAGTGGTACAGAAACTCAGCAGTGGGCTTGCTTTAAAGATTAATGCTTTCTCAAATCTAAGATTCTGTCTTGGGTCCAGATGATCATAACAATGAGTATTGCGTATGAATACTGAATGCCTGGTGCAGAATACACTTAAAGCATTATCTTATCCTTAGCATGAATTGTCTTAGTAAGTGTATCTTCATTGCACAGAATAGAAAAGTAAAGTAGCTTTGCAGTTCTGCCAATTGGAGTCATTCTTAGAAGACAGCGCTATTGGTGTATCGCCTCCTTTTCAAAAGGTGGTGTGTAGATTAGATTAGCACTGGTCCAGTCTTCTGCCCCAGGAACCTGAAGCAGGAAAGTCACGGGAGTTTTTTTCACGAGTACAACCCATTGAACCTCCAGAGACAATGACATGATTGTACTGGTTAAAAATGCTGGCAACTTAATAGAGGGAATAAGTACAGAGGGAGGGAGATAGACTGGTACAGTGAACACTTAAATTTAGGTCACAGACTTGGCAAGTGAAAGTGACTTGTAATAAGAGTTTTAGGTAAGTAGTAGAATATCCTAATTCAGAAGTAAAATTTCCTCATTCAGAAATTCAGCCAAGAGTATTCAGATTTGATGTGTTGTTTTATTAAATATTAATTTGGCTTTTCATATTCCAAGAATAAAAAGTAAGGTGGTTTGAGGCTTAGAGGCATTGTCTGCCAGGTGATTTTAATTTGTTTTTTGGTAAATAGGGTAACCAAAGTTTTTACAAAGGGGTGGATATAAAGTTGCATTTCAGGGGCTGGTGCTGGGAACCCTTTGGTGTGCCCAGGATCAAACCTAGGTCCACCAAGTGCAAGACAAATACCCTACCCAGTATACTATTGCACCTTGCCAAATTCTTTTTAGTGTTATCTTTCCTCTCTAATGATAGGGAAATACTGTGCCTATACATATACATATACATACACATATACATGTACTATACATTTTCTTAAGTAAGTATGACAATAGTTTAGGGCAGACATTAACTTGGAGACTGAAAGCAAACAGACTAAGGAGCTCCTGCAGAAATCAAATGAGAAGCAAATGACACTGGTATCACCTCTAGGAGGGACAGTGCAGATGGTGAGTTGCTGACATTAGCACACGGCTAGATGTGCAGTGAAGTTCCAAAGGGAATCAGAGACGTTGTAAAATTTCAAGCCTGGTAAACAGACATGATGGCTGAAAGATCTTCAGTGTCAAACACTGCCAGTTGATCAAGGATGATGACTAAGGAAGGTTGATGTAAAATGCACAATCCAGCAACTACCAACAACAAAGGAACAGTGGAATTTAAGAAGAAATATATTAAAAGTGTGGTTCTTGGGGACAGAGTGATAGAACAATGGATAGGGCACTTGCCTTGCACCCAGCCAACCTGGGTTTGATCCCCAGAACTGCATATGGTCCCTGGAGCCTTCAGGAGTGATTCCTGAGTACAGTCAGGAGTAAGTCATAAGCACTGATGAGTGTGGTCCAAAAACAGTAATAAAAAAAAAAAGTATGGTTGTGTCTCCAGGTTGAGATATAACAATCTTCACACACTTTCCTCTAAGGAAACTTTTTGGATCATTTTTAGTGGACTATTCATAACAAGCTACAAAATAAATTGTTTAGGATCTGCCTTTGGGGCAGGCTTGAGTGGTGGTGGAAAAATTTGAAATAATGATTGTGGGAAGGTGAAATAGTGGTGGGATTGGTGTTGGAATATGAATGTAATTATTATGAACAACTTTATAAAAAAAATTTTTTAAAGTATGGTTCTCAAGTCTAGAATGAAGTGTAGGGAAATTACATTGATGATAATATTGTGATGCTGACAAGATTATTTCTTAGTTGCCAGTTTCCTTTTATAATTAATCATATCCACAACTCTCTAAGGTACTACAATATTACTCTTTGCATGACACAGAGAAATACATACATGTATATATATATATCGTGTAGCAAGATGAGGTAAGGGCCCTTTTTATTATTCAATATTAATACATAAAGAGGTGGGGAAGAACATGAGCAAACCTAAGTATCTTTGGAAAATAGTATTTTGACTATATTCATAAAGAATTCTTTGATACATTTTAGATTTAATATATAGATGGATACAAAGTGTGAATGTATGTATGTTATTAAACCTAAGAAGAGAGTATCACTTGTATCACTTGTCATCCAGTTGCTCATCGGCTTGCTTGAGCGGGCACCAGTAACGTCTCCATTCGTTCCTGTTGCATGCTAGTGTAGCCCAGTGGCATCTGCTCGTTCCAGAAACATGAAGTGAGGCCCATTATTGTTTTCGGCATATTGAATAAAACTCAGCTCCCAGAAGAGAACAGTGCAGAATCTCCTGCCCCCGCGCCTGGCTGTCCTCACCAGGGCCCCTTGAAGGGGAGCGGGTTGAGTTTCCCTCCCCTTCCCGAGCAGAGCCCCGGCAGCTGAAGACCTCCAGGACCAGCCACAACTATGCTGAGACCACTCTCGACACACATGAAGGTACCGCAGAAGAACAAAGGCATGCAGGTCCCAGGGCTGAGATCTCCAAGCCTGCTCGGATCGAGGCTGAGCATCCTCCACCCAGATCCTCCGTCTTCCAGTAGGCAGGGGTCACACCCACCAGCTTCCCCTCCCCCCCCCCCCCCCCCCCCCCCCCGGTGCCATGTAATCCCATCAACGGCCAAGACCCAGACACTATAAAACCCAGCTCCCAGAAGCGAATGTGGTGGCGTGACATCTTATTATCTCATTCTTACTTTGGACAACCTGGCAGGCTACCGAATAGAATCTGCCCACACGACAGAGTCTGGCAAACTCCCCCGTGGCGTACCCAGTGTGCCAAATACCAGTAACAATGATAGGTCTCATTCTCCTAACCCTGAAAGAGCCTTGAAAATGGCACTTTTTAAAATCTCAGGGCCAGGGCGAAGGAGACATTACTGGTGCCTGCTCGAGGCAATCGACGAACAACAGGATGATTGTGATTGTGATCATGAATACGCCACAGGTAGCTTGCCAGGCTCTCCTATGCAAGTGGGATACTCCCGATAGCTTGCCGAGCTCTCCCAGAGGGACGGAAGAATTGAACCCAAGTCGGTGGCATGCAAGGCAAACGCCCTACCAGCGATAGCACAGCAGGAAGAAGAGAGCATACAGCAGTAATGCATTTCACTTGCGTCCCAGATTTCGGTTTGACTCCTCAGCACCACATGTGGTTTCCTGAATACCATCAAGGGTCACTCCTATGCAAAGAACCAGTATTAGCCCCTGAGCACCTCTAGGTGTGATCCCCAAAAAGTAGACAACTTACCCTGTTCTTTGTCTGAACTTGATTTCTTAATACCCTTTTACAAAAACTAGTGCTTGTAAAAATTCCAGGGTATGAACAAGGAAAATATGAGTTAAAAAGAAAGTTGAGTGCTCAGCAAAGTAGGAAAAGTGCTCAAAATATGATGAAGTATGTCAAAAGGACACAGCAGCCAAATTAAACAAAAGCCAAAGCTAAAAAAATTTGAGCAGCAAAACAATGGTAGTATAGTATTATTACCCAGACACCAAATTATTCATCATCCATATTGATGACTTAAATTGGGCAGATCAGTAGATGAGAAAAAGGGGTAGCATTTGTTTTTTGGTAGAATTCCAAATAACAAGCAGGAATGTGAAAAGCATCATATAGCAAGTTGGCCTACAATCGTCATTGTCATGGGCATGGACTATCAACAAGTGCTGAAATCAGTGGCTAAAGAGTGGTAAGAAACTGCATTATGCAAATGATGGATACTAATCACAAAGGAGAAAAGAGTGATTTTTCATGGGAGAAAACTGTAAACTCCACATTCACCAAGTTAACATTAGAGGTAACATCAACATCAGGTTCCCACTAAGTGATTTTCTTACTCAAAATGTGTAAGCTCAGTCATGAGCAAACAGCAGCCACCTCAGATGAGAGACATTATAGCACAATAATGACCACTGTTTAAGTGTCAGGGACATAAAAGTGGAGAACTGTTAGAGATCAAAAATGGTCATACTGGGACAGAGATACAGATATGTTTGTAGGAGCTTAAAAACATAATTAAATGTAATGTGGGATCAGGGCCCAGAAAATGGAACATTCCTTTCTAACGCAGTTGTTTTATATTATTTAATTTATATATATATATATATATTTTTTTTTTTAAAGAATTTATTTATTTATTTATTTTTGCTTTTTTTTTTTTTTTGGTCACACCCGGCAATGCTCAGGGGATACTCCTGGCTCATGCAGTCAGGAATTGCTCCTGGCGGTGCTTGGGGGACCATATGGGATGCTGGGAATCGAACCTGTGTCGGCCATGTTGGCTGCGTGCAAGGCAAACACCCTACCTGCTGTGCCATTGCTCCAGCCCCTTAATTTATATTTTTATTAAGGAGTCTGAGTACAAGGGATTCAGTACCTTTTTTTTTTTTTTTTGCAACTTTCTATAAATACAAACTTAGAATAGGTAAGCTGAGCAGAGAAACTGGTTTGTGGCAGAATAACAGTGTATGCTATCTTGATTATGCTAAAATTTCAAACTTACAGGTGACTTAGGTAAAATAATGCTTTGACTTGGGTTTGACATGTTGTAAATCATCTCTTTTGCCTTATCAGATTTTGTGCCCGCTTAGGTGAGACAATGTCAGAGTCTCCACTCCTAATTCAAGGAGCATTAGATATTTCGTGTAAAAGGAAAGAAGGGGAAATAGCTCATTTGACTGGAGCCCGTTTTTCCATCTAAGAGCCTGGGGTTCACCCAAGCACAGACCGGAGAGGACGGCTCCTCTTGAGCAAGGTATTGCCCCCCAAAATAGAAAGAGGACGGTCAGAGCAATAGTATAACACATAGGGCTTCTGGAGGTAACAGTATTTATTGCACATGGCCATTGGGTTTGATCACCACCAGCAGTTATCCCTGAGCGCACAGCTAGGGATAACTATATCCCTGAGCACCACCAGGTGTAGTCCAAAACAAACATACAAACAACACCACCAACAACAAATAGAAGAGAATATGTAGGAAGAAGCCACTGTGAGTTGATTGTATAGACAGGCAAACCATGTCAAAGGATAGAAAATTTGTGAAGCACTGATATCTGTAGTAAATAGAAATGAGACTGTTTTTAAATTTGTAGGTACCAAAAATGATGCACAGAGAAGCCTCCTCAGAAAAAGAATTGCTAGCTACATGGAAAGAGCAGAAAATATAAAGAAATACTTGGATCAAGAAAAAGAAGGTAAAGTGGTTGTTGCAGAGAATGTGTCCACCGATACTGTGGTGGAACACATTTCAGCAGAGGCTTCAGCCTCAGCACCTCAGAGGTCTGTGTGGTCATTCCTGGGGATACAGGGATCCATGCTACAGTAGAGAGTACCAATCCTCTTGAGAATCTGTTGGCGGCAGAATTCTGCAGGCCACTTCTGGAATACACACATCACACATCCGATTGAAGCTAATGTATGAGCTAATGTATGAGCGCCAGTTTAACCATACAGCAATGGAAAATGCACGCAAATCCTGATTGCTATTTGTATTTCCTTTATTTTTTTAAAAAATGACCAAAGTATTTGACCAAATGACCAAAGTTTCTTTAGTAGCTAAAGAAACTCTAGATTAGTTGTGAATCATACCATTTCAGAAATTCAGTTTTCCTAGTGATAAGAGAGGCAGGAAAGTATCACATTCTGTTCTTAATTCCCTACTCATGAATATCTAGTTTCTTTTTCTTTCTTGCTGGGGCTTGAACCCAAGACCTCACACACTACCTATTAGGCCATTGACACCTTTGGCCTGAAGTGCATACTCCTACTATTTTTATAACTAAAGGAACTATTGCTTCACACCTCAGCTGCTCTCCTGCGGTATTCTTACTGCAGCCTTCTATCCCTTAGTATTCTACACCAGCACAGAATCTGGGGAAGTTCTTCCACCAAGCTCAGCTAGGGAGTAGGAATAAAATTGTTTCCTTCACATCTGAATGAAATCTATAATGTAGTAACTTCCCTCCAAAACACTGATGAACTCTAGTATCATCAGTATTGTGTGTTTTTAAAAATACTGGGCTAAATTAACCCTTCTAAAAAAGAAACATCAACTTGAAATCGATGTGTATTTACGTGTTATCAGTGGAAATATGGGAATGGAATCCAAAACAGTGGTATTTAAGGAAAATTTAAAAGTGCAGCCTCCACATAAATTAAGGACTACTAGTAGGAGATATAATACAGTGGGGTAGGACACTTGGCTGACCCAGGTTTGGTCATATGTTCCCCCAAATCCCATCAGGAGTGATCCCTGAGCTCAGAGCTAGAAATAAGCCCTGAGCACAGCTGGATGTTTCCAGAGAAAAAAAAAGAAAAATCTCTGATAACTTGTTTTGAATGAACAGAAACAGTGAAACAATGTTCTTCACATGTGGCATCTTGGTATTGGCTTGGGTTATAAAGGAATGCAATAAATTTCTGCTTAAAACCCCATCTATGGGGCTGGAGAGATAGTACAGAGGTTACGGCACTTTGCCTTGTATTCTGCTGACCCAGGTTTGAATCCTCAGTACAGCAGTCCCCTCAGCACTGCGCCTTTGGCACCATCGGGGTTACTCCTGAGCACTAACGGATATAAAAGATGACAAATTCTAAACAGTATTTGCACGTTTCTCACTTTAGCAGGATATTATTCATGGTGACAGAAATATCATATCTTTATATATGCAGTTCTCTCTTGATCAAAGTACCTGGGATACAGTATTTAGCTTGTGAACTGTTTCAGTAAATCTCTGGATTTTGCCTTTCCTCTTGCCTATGTTCCATGAAGGCAGAAATGCCTTATGGAGTGGTTTGCCTTATTTCAATACGTACAGCACTTTTCAGTGTGTGTGGTATACAGAATGCATTCAGTAAATGTTTGTTGAATTGGAAAGAGTTTTAAAACATTAACATATATCTTATCCTGATCAATAGTTACATAACACATTATGCATAAGTAAGTGATTTTAAAAAAAATGCAAGGCCACTGGTTTCTTAATTGAAGCTTGTATTTTGTAGATGGAAAATATCATAAGCAAATTAAAATAGAAGACAATGCAACAGGTTTCAGTTATGAGTCACTTTTTCAAGAATACCTTAATGAAACAGTTACGGAAGTTTGGATAGAAGATCCTTATATTCGACAGTCACATCAGGTGAGAATGTACTAAAATATAATGAAATGTTTTTTACCATTTCTGAGTTAGTAATACCAATCCATCCTGATGTCTTTCAGCTGTATAACTTTCTTCGATTTTGTGAGATGCTTATTAAGAAACCATGTAAAGTAAAAACTATCCATCTTCTCACATCTCTGGTTGTAAGTATCTGACAGTAGGCATAAAATATCTTTTTTTGTTATTTTAATTGGATCCCGATGAGATTTACAGTTACAAAATTGTTCACGAGTGGGTTGCAGTCATACAGTGCTTGAACACCCATCCCTTCACCAGTGTCCTTCCAGCCACCAATGTCCTCATGTTCCCTCCTGCCCCCCTCCATCCTGTCCCAGTCCACCTCTATGGCATGCACTTCCCCACCCCCCTATTTAGGCAGCATGAAATATCTTGATAAAATGCTTTTGAGTTTAGGATGTTCTTCCTTGGATTTGGCCTGTTTGTCACTTGAAACTCTTGGATGTTCATGGGAGTGATGACACTATAGTATTCACAATCTGTCTCTTCTTTTTGTTGATTTACTAAATTGGCCTTCAGAGAGTCACAGCATGTTGGTAGGCCTCCTTCTCTTGATTTTGACTCAAAAGAATGCTTATAAATAATTCACATTTTCAGGATTAATTTGAGAAGACAGTTCTATCTGAATACTTAAGCAGTAGAATGAAAACACATTTACAAGTTAGGACAGAATTGTGTTATGCTCATATTAGAAAAAAATACTCTTTTTTTTTTTTTTTGGTAAAAACAGTTGCTCTTAAGTTAAATTCATTTAAGTATATAAAAGTTAAACACTTTAACTTCAACAAAAATTGTCTTTGAAACAATAGACATCAAAAGTGACATGGAACCTTCCCATTTTACTTCTTGTGATATACATTGCATAGTTTTAGGAATAAATTAAAAGTAATAACTGATGAAGAAAATATGGTTTTTCTACACAGGGCAGTGTGCAGCAGAATGGCCTGGAAGAAATAAAAGAATCACTCTGTAAATACGGAGTGCTGTTGGAATTAGAATACTCTTCTTCAATACACGACCGAGAAATTAGGTTAGTAATATTATTACACAGCTGAAATATATCTTTATTGCTCAAGTTAAATTTTATAATTGCATATATTTAAATATTACATTTTAAAATAAAAATTAGTCTCTACTTTTACAGAGGGAAATCAGACTTATTTTGACCTAAAATGTGTTTCATATTTCCTAATGGAATAAAATTGACATGTTCTTTGTCATATTAGAAGAAGTAACTTTCTGCCTATTCAACCTATATATACAATATAAATTGGGATGCTCTCCTTTTCCAGAGAAATTAATATGTATTTGTGTGATTTTACTTCTGACACTTTGTCCTATAGACTGGACAGTGTACTATAATTGTAAGGTAAAGGTTATTTTGTTAGCACACTGGCTGTCATATGTTTGGTGTTAGCACCCTAAGGTATAATACACACAGTTGAAATGCAAAGAACATGAAAGTGCAACCACTTTGGGTGAGTCAAGTCCGGGATCCAGAGTTCTTTGTGGCCATCCCCATGTCTGGGTAGGGTGTTTCCTGAAACCCCCACACTATACTTTGAAACCATTTGAATTAGCAAGATTTAAAAAAAAATTATCCATGGGAACAAGTTTTGTCAGCAAGCTGAAATTCAGTATTTATTTTTAATTGCTGTATCAGCTAATCAGATCAGCTACTAGTTTCTCTCTTGTTTCACCGAAGACAAAGCATGAGTGATCCTAGATTGGTTCAATTTATGCCACTGGAAGAAGGGATTTTCTTCATTGGGAGAATTTTTTTCCTCTCAAGTCTTACCAGTTTTATCCCACTCCCCTGTTTTTGATAATTTACAGTATTCAGTAGGTTATTGAGGTGGGCACTGGGCCATGCTTGTGAGGCAACTCCAAGCTCTGTGCTTGGGATTGTCACCATATTTACCACATCACCATGCTTACCACCAAATTCCAGTTACCATTCCATCACCAAAAAGACCCCCATACCCATTCCTCCCACCCACTTGCTGCTTTCTCCCTGATAACCACTATAGTTTCCACGTAGTATTGATAGTTGTGTTGTTTTTTGCCAATTGATATGATTTAATATTTTACATTCCACGAGTAAAACCGTCTCGTTACTTTTACTTCACTTATCATAATTGCCTCAAGATCCATCCATTTAATCCCAAAGAGCACAATTTCATTCTTTCTAATAGAGTAGTATTCCAGTGGGTATATATACCACAGCTCTCTCTTTTTTTTTTTCAATCGGGGTATAGCCAGCATTGCTGGAGGGCCTGGGGCTATCTTGGCGGTGCTTGAGCAGAGGGTATGCAGTGCCAGGGATTGCTTCTCGTTCCATCCAAGCTGAGGCAAAAGGTAGGACTGCATCTTTTACAGTTGAGAAGTATTCCACTGTGAGTATATAAGTGTGTGTAAATATGTGCGTATATATATTTTTATGTACATATTATATGCATGGGCTGGAGCGATAGCACAGTGGGTAGGGTGTTTGCTTTGCAAGCAGCCAACATGGCCAACCCAAGTTTGATTTCTCTGCCCCTCTTGGAGAGCCCGGCAAGCTACCGAGAGTATCTTGCCCACAAGGCAAAGCCTGGCAAGCTACTCGTGACGTAGTCAATATGCCAAATACAGTAACAATTATCACAATGGAGATGTTACTGGGCCCCCTCAAGCAAATTGATGAACAATGGGAGGACAGTTACAGTGACGGTGATTATATGCGTACATACATAAAATCACAATCCATTTACCTGTTATCGGACATTTGGGTTATTTTTAGCTCTTAGTTATTATAAATAATGCTGCAGTGAATAGAGATGGGCATATATCTTTTTGAATTAATGTTTTTGTGTCTGAGGGTGGAGTAGATATCAAGGAATGAATTGTTGGGGTGTAGCTGTCAGTGCAGCTATGAGACTTGGGAACATGGAGACGTATGCAGTCTAGGGTTGATGGCTCAAAGATGTGCATGCCATGGATAAGCTGGAAGATACCATCTATGTGGGTCACAGACTGATGGTCATGACAAAAATTTTTTAGAGAGAACAGTGGTTACATAGGGGCAGAAAGGGGGTGCATTACGTGTGGATCACGAGATGGGAAGAAGAAGGGGAATTCATTGGCTACATAGGCTAGATGGGATGGAGTGTCGCAAGGTGTCACGAGATACCTATGAGCTAATGCAGAGGTGGAACAATAAGGTTTACAGGTACCACAGATGTTGGCAAGGCCATCAAGCCATGCTAATAGTTGGAGAATGCCGGTTCTCCTGGCAACAGCTTGCACCCATCAAGGAGAGTGCTCAGAGGACAAGCACTACGGTCTAGGTTATCAGGGAGCTGTGTGCCAAAAACAACTCCCAACACTGGGGTATAAAGTTTTAATTTTATTTTTAATTTCTTGAGAAATCTCCATCTGTTTAACATAGATTCTGAACCAGAAACAGTCCTACCAGCAGTGAAGAAGGGTTCCTTTTGCACTGTGTCTTTGCCATCCTCGGTTTTCATATAGGTCATTCTCACGTGTGTGAGGTTTTATCTCACTGTCATTTTGATTTGCATCTCCCAGATTATCAGTGATGTAAATACATTTTCATATGCCTCTTGGCCATGTTTATGTCTTTGGGAAGTGTTTGTATAACCCCTCACCCCATTTTTCTGATAGGGTTTTTTGATGCTGAATTCTGTGAATGCTTTCTAGATTTTAATGGCTTTCTGTCAGATGTATAGGGTTCAAGTAGTTTTCATTTAGTAGAATGTCTTTCATTTTAGCCGTTGCAAAGCTTTTTAGTTTATTTATATAGTTCCATTTGTTTATGTTTGCTTTGTTTCCTTTGCCAGTGTTAAGTCTCTGACGTTGAAATCTTAGACCTGTGTTACCTTCTATTTTGTGGCTTCAGAGCTTATAGCCAATGATTAATCCCTTTTGATTTAATTTTTATATGTGATAATATTAGATGAGGATCTACTTAATTTTTTCCGGGGGGGGGGCAAGTGGATATCCAGATTTTGCAACAGATGTTAAAGCAGCTTTTCTTTCCCTCTATGGTTCCTTTTACCCTATATGTGTGGATTTATTTTAGGTTCTCGATTCTGTTTATTGGCCAGCATGTCCATTATTTCCAGTACCACGCTTCTTAAATTATTATTATTTTGTATTATTTTTTTGAAGTCAGGGAGTGTGATGCTTCCACTTTTCTTTTCTCTCAGAATTGTTTTGGCTGTTGAGTTTTTTGTTTTTTTCTTGTGGCTCCATACACTTTTAGAACTATATGTTCTAGTACCTTTAAAAATGCTATTGGTTTTTTAAATAGGGTTTGAATTGGGTAAGATAGCTATTGTAATAATGTTCAGTCATGTTCTTCCATCCCTTAAACATGGGATGTCTTTCCATTTCTTTTATTTCTTCTGTAATGTCTTATAATTTTCAGTGTATATGTCTTTCACCCCCTTTGTCAGATTGGATCTTTTTTTGCCCTCTTTTCCCATTGTAAATGAACTTTACTTGACCGTTCATCTAATTCACTGTTTATATATACAAATGCAACAGAGTATATATATATTGGGTTTTGTATCCTACTGCCTTGCTAAAAATCATTATTTCTAGTAGTTTCTTATGGGGTCCTTAGGGTTTTCCATCTATATCACAGATCTCAGTTATAGTTTTACTTTTTTACGATCTAGATTCCTTTTTTATTTCCTTTATTGGTTTTCATTTTGGAGCCACACCTGCTCTGGGATTATTTCTGGCTCTGCACTCAGGAATTACTTCTGGTGATGCTTGGAGGACTAACCAGGGATGCTGGGGATCACGTGATTTTTTTCAAAACTAGGTTAAAAATTGAAAGGAACATATCTTAACATAATAAAGATCATATATAACAAACCTACAGCTAATACCACACTCAGTGATGAAAAACAGAAAGCTTTTCCCTTAATACTTGGAATAACAGAAGGATATATAAAATAAACAAAGTTTTGGTAAAGTTAATCAAATTAGGCAAGAAAAAGAAATAAAAAGTGGGGGTTGGAGCGATAGTATAGCAGGAGGGCATGTGCCTTGCACACAGCCAACCAGAGCTGTATTTCCAGAACCTCATCTAGTCCCTTGAGCACTGCTAGAAGGTGGACTGAGCATCAGTAGAAATAAAAAATTAAAGATAAAATGGATGCTAAATCTAGTCAAGGTTCCCTCCCAGCATTTATTAATAATATAATCATTTTTAATCTTTTTGCTGCTGTGGCATATTACATTAATTGATATGCAGATGTTGAAGCATCCTTGCACTTAGGGGAGATTTTACTGTGACTGAATTTGGCTTTGTGATTGCTTGTGTCAAGTGTCTGGAATATCATGCTATGTATGTATTTAAATAGGTTCAACAATGGATGGATAATTAAGATTGGAAGGGGACTTGATTATTTTAAGAAGCCCCAGGTAAGATAAGGCCTATAATGATTGTGTAGTACTCTTCTTTTACTATTTTTACAAAATGGTTTTGTTCTCCTTATTTTGAAAAACCTCTTATTTTCTTAGGGTCAATTTTCCCTTGGATATTGTGATCTTGATTTAAGACCATGTTATGAAACAACCGTGGACATTTTTCATACCAAGCATACGAAACAAATATGATGGTTAGTGGTCTAATTTCCATTCCGTATTTTTATTGTTTATATATACTGGAATTTTTTTTACTTTAATTATTACTGTACCAGCTTAACAATAAACTTTTATATTTCTACTAACTTATGTACTGTTCATTTGTGTGAACAATAATTTTCTTATTAATACCTAGTTAAGTGTTTTATCAATTTTGTCATATTTGGCCTTTGGTCAGCAAGTCAAAAGCACCACTTTTGAGTATATCCTGAACCTTGCTTCAAAGGAAAAAGATCATGGATGAGGGTGTGTGTGGCTGAGTGATAGCACAGTGGGCAGACGCTTGCCTTCTATGTGGTCAACCTAGATTCGATCTCTGGCGCCACTTATCCCTTCAGCCCACCAGGAGTGACCTCTGAATGCAGAGCCAAGAGTAAATCCCGAGGACCATTGTGTGTGGCCCTGAAACACTAAAAAACAGCAATAGAGGAATGAATAAGGGTATATGGGTCTAATAATCAGGAAAAAGTCATCCCCTTTGGTTATCTAGACACAGTTTGCAACTCATTCAACACGGGTTGGCACATTAGTTGAATTCTACACCTTAGAAATCAATTTTAGTCTTGGGCAGCCTAGTAATTCTGAAGCAGTTCCTGAACTCCTCTGCATGGATAAGAGTAACTTCATTCATCCAGATACTAGTTAACTGACTAGCTGGAGACAAAAACTAGTTTCCATCGAGACACGCTGGAAGAGATACGGAATAGGCAGGTTCAGTGGGGAGCCCAGGAGTGTAACGAATAAGCTAGTACATGGAGGGAAGCAGTAGTACAGTGCTTGATGGTACACATAAACATCATATTACAGAAGATTTTTCAATTCATGAAGGACCAAAGCCATGGGGAATAGGATTGGGCAGAGCAGACCTGGGGTACCTAGGACACAAGGCACATGCAAATATTTTACCGTTGTGAAACAGTGCGTTCATGACTGAGTTGGCATATTAAGACCAAAAAGCGTTTCCAGAAAAATTCCTAATGTTTTTCTCTGACATTTTCAGAATCGGTGTGGATAATACTGAACCTAAAAATATTCAAACCCATTTTGACAAGGTGGTAAATGGAAAATGGAAAATTAGGGCATCGAGAAAGTACTTGGACAATTGTTGATCAACAGTTACTTTCTGCAGAGTGTACTAGCTCTTTTTGCCATGTACCCATCATGTGGAAGTAAAGTGGCTTTTCCTTCAGGTGAGAACATGTTAGATTTCCTTATTTCCATGTTAAATAACAAATTCTTGATAATATAGATTATTACAATGCAGCATTCCACAATCCTATATAGACTGTTACTATGCAGTATTCTACAATCCTATGCAATCAACTTTTTTCTGACCAAGAAATGACAGATAAGAATTTCTGAATTTCAGATTACAAGTTTACTTAACATAAATATTGGGCCTGGTGCTGTGACTCCATGGTAGAGTGCCTTGCAGGCATCAGGCTCAAAGTTTATCACTAGCATCATCCCACACATCTGAGTGTGATCCTGACAGCACTGTCAGGATCCCCAGAGCCACTTAACAAGTGTGCAAGCACCACAACCAAATGTGCTCCCCTAACACCATTCAGAGATCATCTCCCTGAAACTCTCTGAAGTACTCCCCTTCTCCCCATCCTGTGCTCTTGGTCCTTCTGCGATTATAGAGTTTATTCATATACTTGGGGGGAGGGAAGTCCTCCCCTAAGTGTAACCAAATGTATAACCTCAACAAGCTACACAATTATGTAATACCTGTTATTCATTCATTTTTTCATCATCCTGTTATTCGTCGATTGCCTCAAGCAGGCCCCAGTAACGTCTCTTTCATCCTAACCCTGAGATTATATTCAAGGCTCTTTAGGAGAATGAGACCCATCATTGTTACTGGTATTTGGCATATTTGGTACGCCACGGGGAGTTTGGCCAGACTCTGCCCTGTGATGTAATACCTGGACTTCATAAAAACAAAAGAATAATAACAAAGGGAAGAGGATAAAGCAATTATAAAGATCTCTATATATAATAGGAAATGTACATGAATACATGAAACTAAATAGGCTTTAAGGTAGAATACAAAAAAGGAAATGAGTAACTAGAAAGATATTATTGAATGGGAAGGCTTATTAAAGTATCACTTTTCTCCAATTTTTAAGATAAGTGAAAAAACAGATTGAAACTAACAGACTTGGTTGGCCATATCACGGTCACGGTCACGGTCCTCCCATCGTTAACTGATTTGCTTGGCGGGCCCAGTAACGTCTCCTTCATGAGACTTGTTGTTACTGTGTTTGGCATATTGAATACGTCATGGGTAGCTTGCCAGGCTTGCCGTGCGGACAAGATACTCTCAGTAGCTTGCTGGGCTCTCTGAAAGGGGCAGAGGAATCGAACTCAGGTCAGCCATGTTGGCTGCGTGCAAGGCAAACACCCTACTGCTGTGCTGTCGCTCCAGCCCTGGTTGGCCATAAGGGGGAAAAAAAACTATAGTGATTTCTTTTAAAAATGTGTGTCAACCCGTCAACCCCTGTCATCTTTGGTCCATATCCACCACACCTTCTATTACATATTCTCTACCCTCCCCACACACCTCAAATTCCTGTGAACCCAAGCTCTCCCAGTGTACCATCTCCAGTAAACTGCCATTGGGAGAGTTCGCAACCCACCTCCAGCCCTGCTCCCCTGCTGAGAACTCTTCCTATGGCAGGAAGCAGTGGAGGCAGAAAGAGTCTGACAGTGAACTATATAGCGGATCTTTGCTCAGGCCTTCTGGAATTGAAAGTTCCACCCCTTAACACCTGTGAAGCATTAGGAAGAAAGAGAAAACAAAGGAATTCGGCAGCTTTAGCAGATGGGAACAAAAGTCTAGATAAATCCTCAAGTTTATTAAAACTCTCAACATTCCCTAAGGATGACCTCAAAACAGTCTCCTCAGTGGTACCTTAAATGAAGAAAGCATTGGATTTCACTCAGCCAGAAAAAAACTGATGCAACACATCAAAAAATTACTAGAATTGAGGGAATTAAGGAATACAGTAGAGAGTCACAACAGAATTGAAGAACCTGGGAACTGAGTATGTTTGGAGACAAAAGACATCACCCAAAAAAAAAAGAAGAGAAAGGAGATGTTAAAAGAAAATCTAAAATCTTAAGTAGACAATAGTAAGATGTAGAGTCTCCAAATCAGGAGTACTGGAAGGAGAGGGAAAAGAAAAAAGGGAAGAAGGGCTAGTGGAAGACAATAGCTGAGAACTTCCCCAGTCTGAGGAAGACCTGTGCTGTGCATAGACAGGAAGTCCAGTGAGGGTCAAAATAAACCTAGAGAAACACCCAGGCACATATAATCAGAATGACAACGGAGGGGGTCATTTAAAGCCACAAGAGAAAAACTGAAACTCAGGTACAAAAGCAACATAAAATTCTCATCTCTCACATAAACCCCCACAAGCAAGAACGGACTGGAATACATAGTACTAACCTGAAGCAAACTCCAGGCTTGAGTCCCTTTCCCTGCTAGGCTGTCATTGAGATTTATGGGAGGGATAAAAACACCTGAGACAAACAAGAACTGGGGCGTCTGCTTTATTCAAACCTCGGAAATGTTAATCCTCCCAGACCAGATAGCTCACTTACAGGTTTTGCATGCAGGCCTGGGTTCAACCTCTGTATTGCATGGGTCCCCAAATTCCAGTGGGACTGAGCACTCTTCTGAGAGTACTCGTAATCACAACCAAGAGTGGTCTAAAAGCAGAAAAACTGCTCTCCTTTCAGAACTGCTTCGGGGTTACTTTAGCTTTATTCCCCTAGATTCTGATATTTGAGAAAACATTCTTCTCTCAAATAACTGCTACCAGTGATGGATTGAAAATAACCTATTTTCCCATGAGGATGATTATCATTCTCTGACATTTGTCTTATGTGAGCTGAGGAAGTATTTTCTATGTACTCAAATATGTATATGTGTGTGAATATGACAAGTGGGTGTACATATATTAAAAATTGTTAAATATGCTAGAATGATTATGTAGAGTGTACATAAACTTCCATGTTAATTTATGTTGCCATGTTTGAATTGTATTTTTCATTGTTTAACAGTGCTCTAGAAAAAAAATCTAATTGAATATATTCAAGAAAAGTTTGATTATATTAGAAATATCTTTGTTCCTTTTGTTAATATTGTGAAAATATATTCACCAATTTTTTTAAATGATGGGAAATATAGATGTTAATAAAAGTCGTGCAGTGAAATTCAGCACTGACATACTTAAAAATTCTGTGTATCTGTAAAACAAGCTACTGAAGCATATTAAATTGTACAAGTAGGTGTAAGGCTTAGACAAAGATCACTGTATCACTGTCATCCTATTGTTCATTGGTTTACTCGAGCGGGTGCCATTGACCTCTTCATTCATCCCAGCCCTGAGATTTTAGCAGTCTCTTCTTACTCATCTTTCCCAACGCTGCCATATTGGAGGCTCTTTCAGGGTCAGAGGAATGAGACCCATTATTGTTACTGTTTTGGCATATTGAATATGCTATGGGTACCTTGCCAGGCTCTGCCATGTGGTGGGGATACTCAGCTTGCTGGGCTCTCCGAGAGGCATATATAATATATATATATTTCCCTCTTCGATTTGTTGCCTACTGTCTGAACCCCATCAAATATGATGTGGTAATTATGGAAAAAGGGTAGGGAGTGTCTGATGATGTGGGCTGCGTGGTCCATGTGCATATGTGAGGCTCAGCCTGAGCCTGTGGAAAACGGCCTATAACGTGGCGGTGGTTGGGTAGTGGAGGTCGGTTGCTAAAGATAAAGCTGAAAAAAATGACTGTAGCCTGTTTCGAGTGGCGCTTTGTGTTGCTGTACAGTTAGAAAAATCATTTCCTTCAGAATTTTAAGGAGAACACCATTCTATGTAAGTTAGATCTGATGCCAAATGATTTAGTTTCTCCCTAAACACCCCCTGGAATTCTGGATTACCTATCAGATCCTCCGTCTAATTATGTAATTTACATTTTCTTCTTCGTCATGAGTAAAAGATTCAAGTCTTCCTTACAGTTCACGTAGAGGCAAAGGGACAGTGGGACAGGGAAAAAGGGACATGGAGGGTTAGTACCGACGGGGCTGGTAGTGGAGTTGTGTTACTAGTAAAAAACAACAATATGGGAATCTGTTGTAAATCATGGATCTCAATACAGAGTACAAAGGGTTGTTACTATTAGAATTTATATTCTAAAGTACCTTTTTTCCCCTATTATATTCTAAAATGAAAACATGTAAGCATAAAAACGGACAAATCAGAGCCGGAGAAATTGGAGAAATATTACAGAGGTATTGCATTTGCCCTGCAGGTGACTGCAAGAGTGGGTTGAATCCAAGCAGTGCATATGGACTCCCAAGCACTGCCAGGTTTAGCCCCTGAGCACAGAACAAGAGTAGCTGTGGTCTGTTGTGTAGCAGTAGTTGATAAAACCTGGAACTCTCATTCCATTTCACTTTGTACAGCTTTCTTCTCATTCTTTCTGGTCTGTTTCAATGTCTTCATCTCTAGCTAAATGGCTCCTATTATATTCCATTTTAACCACCTGGACTTGGCTTTTATACTACCCCCATTTTATAATTGTTTACTGATTTGTCCAATTTCCCTCCTAGTGAAGTTTGTTATTTTAATAGCTCAGGCATCAACTTTTTTTTTTAGAGGAGGGGCACACTTGGTGATGCTCAGTTCCTGACTCTGCACTCAGGGATACTCTTGGCAGTGTTCAGAGGACCATATGGGAATGCTAGGGATCAAAACTGGGTCAGTTGTGTATGCAAGGCAGGCATCGTATCTGCTAGTCAATCATCCCGGCCCCCAGATGTTGACCCCTTAGTGGACTATAAAATCAGTTTTCATTTAGTATTAATTGGGGCCCAGTTGTAGCATTGCCCAGAGACCCATGCAGTGCTAGGGATGGAGCCTGGGACTCCCACATCCAAAACATGTGCCAGTCTTTTGAGCTTTTGTCCCTGGCTTCAGAATTTTTTAAACATGGGGGAGGGGTATTTAGACCACATCAGGCAGTGCTCAGGGCTTATTCTTAATTCTGAGATCCAGAATGATTCTTGGAGGGGCTTGGGATATCTGTGTTGGTCACATGCTTAGTTGTGCTACTACTGCTCTGTCCCCCTGATCAGTATTTTAGTTGAAATTCTACCTGTACCTAGGAATAGGTAATGTATGTTTTATTCTAATTTTTTAAATACTATAGAAATGAATAAGTAAAGTAAAGGCCCTCCCGTTGATCATCGATTTGCTCGAGCGGGCCCAGTAACGTCTCCATTGGAGACTTTGTTGTTACTGTGTCTGGCATATCGAATACTCTCGGTAGCTTGCCGGGCTCTCCGAGAGGGGCACAGGAATCGAACTCAGGTCGGCCATGTTGGCTGCGTGCAAGGCAGACGCCCTACCCGCTGTGCTATCGCTCCAGCGATATTCATAGAAATGAATAACATGTGAAAAAATTGTAGAAACTGAGAATGGCTGACAACGATGTTTGAAAAAGTTTGGCAGTGAAGAGTGGAGGAAGAACAAAACTTTGAACACAAGAGTTTTGGGGATGGTGAGTTATGGACATGATCATTAACAATGTTAAAGATACAGTAAAACTTGAAAAGAGAATACAAGATAACTGATAGTACACATTTATGCACAGGAGACACAAGACAGAAACTCAGGGTACAGTTGGTGGCATTAGCTTTAAGGAAAAGGCAGCTTTTCTTACATGATGGTGAGTTTTCCTTCAGTACTGCCTGCATATTGGGGCATAAGTAGAAAATAAATTATTGAAATTAAAACTGTTGGAATAGAGGCTGCGTGATGGTACACAGATAGGGCATCTTCCTTGCATGCAGCCAACCTGGGTTTGATTCCTGGCATCCCATAGGGTCCCCTGAGCATCGCCAGGAGCAACCCCTGAGCACTACCAGGTTTGACCCCAAAAAGCAAAAATAAAAAAATAAAATTGTTGAAATAAAGTTGTAGGTCAGAAAAGAAAAAGAGATGAGAGGCCTGGCAACTAGAGTATGAAAGGAGATGAAGATGAATTACTTCCGAGTACAGAGCCAGGAGTAACCCTGTGCATCTCCGGGTATAACCTGAAAAGCCAAAAAAATAGAAAAAAGAAAAAATAACTTTTTGAGGTCAGAATATCCAGTACTGTATATATCTCCAAGATGGTAGCCAAATTCTTAAGTGCATGCTAAGTATTAAGATCAATGCAGAGATGGTTTCCTGGAGTACAGGTGAGCAAACAATATAGGAAAGAACATGAGATAGACTATTTCAAATGGTATTACTGAAAGACTAGCGCTTTTTTATTTTAAAAGTCATACAATGCAGATTTAAATTTTTTATTTTCTCATTGAATCTACCAGTATGAAGAAATTTTCTAGGAATCACATTATTCCCTTAATTTTTTCACAGAGAAGATTCCATTTACTGCGCAGTTCATTGTCTTCTGGACATATTTTATTTGTTAGTGCAGCAGTTTCAATTGGGCAAAATTTTCTGCCAATAAAATCTGAATTTAATTTTGCACATATTTCCAGTGGCAGCCAATGGTTTGGTATTTCAATATTACAGATTTCAATTCTTCCATTCTTTATGTCGATAAATACTTTAATTTCCAAGGATGACTGTTCACATAATATGTTAAAGTAAGTACTTATACTAAACTTTGGAGTTTTGCCATATATCCAGTCCCAGGTTTGCAGTTCTTTGGCTTTTGACTTTATTCCAGGAAACAGGGTCTCATCTGTTGGGTTTATCAGATTAATGTGATTATCTATTTGATGATAAGCAGCATACTCTGCAGCAATGGTTTCCATCAGTTTTTCACAAGTCAGAGTGGAATCTTTTTCTAAAAGATTTTTCACTAAGGAAGGTATGCTAGCAGTGGCATTGCTCTTAATGCCCTGGGAAGGACTCTTGAGCAAAGATGACAAGAAGAGTTTGTCAGCATTACATAACAAAGTGCAGTGATGGTAAGCAGTAGTTCGGCCAATTTTAGAAGCTGTTCCTGAGATCTTAAACTGTCCATCAAGTAAAATGTCAAATCTTTTGGTCGCCTGGACATCCAGCTGGGGTTGGACAGCATTCAGAGCTCTCACAATTAATTTCAGATTTTCCATCCTATCATACTTTTTTTTGGTTGTGAAAAAGGTCAAATTAATATTACCCATATCATGGTAAACAGTTCCTCCACCACTTCTTCTCCGAGCCAGTTTTATACCTTCTTCTCTCATCAGATTCAGGTTACATTCCTGCCAAGGGTTTTGATGCCTACCAATGACCACAGAGGGAGAATTTCTCCACAAGAAAAGAATCGGCTTGCCTTCTAGATTCATATGGTCATGGATCCAATCTTCTACAGCCAGATTTTGGTAAACATCATTGGAAATTGATTGTAAAATGAGTCCACTTTGTACTGCATTTTTAAAGCCAGCAGCTGGGATCTTTAGGTTACAAAATAACTGGAAGCAATTCTTCTTTGAAAATGGGATGGGCATGCTTTTGAAAATGGAAGACAAACAAATTAACTGAGGAAAGGAATATTAAATTCTATTTTCCAGGTATCAGTTTTTGGTAATTTAATCCAAATTTATCTAATTCTCTTATGTATCCAATCCAGTTGTTTTTCTTGCCTTTTGTCATTAATCCCAATAATTTACCAAAGAGTAATCAAAGGAAGTAAAGTCAAACATCAGATAATTTCAGGTGAACTGGAGTAAGGGCACAAATTTATCAAATTGGCAAAAACATGTATTCCAGAGCCAAACACATTATTTTGAACTTAATATTTTGCCATGTACCCCTTTCCTTGCCTGTATAAATACACATCCACCGCCCCTCATTTCATTCAGCACAGTGGGTAGGGCGTTTGCCTTGCACGCGGCCTACACGAGTTCGATTCCTCCACCCCTTTCGAGAGCCCAGCAAGCTACTGAGAATATCTCACCCGCACAGCAATGCCTGGCAAGCTACCTGTGACATATTTGATATGCCAAACACAGTAACAAGTCTCACAATTTTACTGGGCCCACTCGAGCAAATTGATGAACAGTGGGAGGTCAGTGACAGTGACAGTGACAGCTTTTATGTATATTTTATTGTTACAGTAACCAGTTTGTTCAATCTCTTAGTTTATATTTTGTACTTTCTCCATTTTATTAACAACCTATTTGTGAGTATCTCTAGGAAAAGCTATGAGCTGATACTTTTCAAAAATGCTGATTCAACTTTAGAAATATGATTTACTGACAACATCGCTATTTTAGTCAAATCAGAATTCACCTGGTCCCAAATTGGGGCAGGAGAGGTAATTATAATAGTACAGTACATGTAAAAGCTATAAAATTTTGTTTTTTCCACATTTTAAAATTTATAATAATATTAGGTAGCAAAAGGTTTTATTTTTAATTTCAGGTCATACCTGGCTCTGCTCAGGGATCACTCCTGTGGGCTCTGAAGACCAGATGGGGGGCCTGGAATCAAACCAGGTTGGCTGCATGCAAGGCAAGCACCTTACCCTCTGTGCTATCTTTCTGGCCTGGAAAAAATATTTGATACTTTTTAATACTTCTAATAAATTTTAAAACTTGCTAAAGATTTTAAGACTTTCTATAATGGTATACATTGAATAGTCAAGTAGGATGGTCATATGCTTTTCTTTTAGGTCAAAGAAATGAGAGAAGTAGAAATACTGGGGGTAAGGTACTTGTCTTGCATGTGGTTAACCCTGGTTCAACCTGGTACTGCATAGGGTTCCCTGAGCACTGCTGGGAGTGATTCCTGAGCACAGAACCAGGTGTGAGCCCAGGCACTGTTGGATGTGGCCCCAAACACAAATAAAGCCCATAAACTCAACCAAATTATTTTGCTTTTTAAATAGGGGCCAGACCCAGTGTTAGTGCTAGACAAGGGATATGGAATATAGGTAGGCACACACTGCTTACAGTTAGGGAGAGGTTTAAGAGAAAGGAATATTTGGTGTTAACCAAGTAGATGGGAATAGTATATTTTTTAAAATGCTGACTTATCTTTATTAGGCTAATGAAAGATAGCTAACAATAAGGCACGTTTGGCAACTTTTGGTTCAGGGAAAGTTACACTAAAAGTTACACTATAAGTCTTCCAGCTCTACTGAAGACTAAAGTCTATAGCTGCACTGTCCAAAGAAGCCTCTTGAAGCCAGATGGAATGTCTGGTTAAACTCTTTTTTCTTTTTTGCTATATCCAGAAGTTCTGCTGAGGGATGCCCCACTCTCAGAGATGCTGGTTAAACTCATTTTTTCTTTTTTGCTATACCCAAAAGTTCCTATGACGGATGCCCTACTTCTCAGGAGAAGACCAGGAATCAAACCCAAGCCTCCCCAAAACAAAGCATATGCTCTAGCTCTTTCATCCATCTTCATGGCCCAAACTTCGTTCTTGTTCCTGCTTGATAGACTGAGATGTAGACTAAGCCTAAAGGAACAGAAAAAGAAGTAATCTAAATTTCTAATTCTAAAACGTGGTCTTTTGCTAAAAGCAGCTGGGAATTAGCTCAGTGAAATAAACAAGTCAATCATTGTGTAGAGTGCATGGACTAAAGAAATGACAGACGAGGGGGGCTGGAAGAGAAGTTAACAGTCCAATACAGCTGTCTAAGCCAGAGATAGCAGATTTACAAAAAGGGGAGTCATGAAAGACATGAAGGTGGTAGACTACACACTGGTCCTGGGCTCTGAGAAATTTACACCTAGATCCTGAAAAGCAAATAAGGTGATAGTTACAATATAAATTTTTAAGTGCTATGCCAGTAAGTGCATCAGAAAAAGAGTGGAAATGATAGTGAGGCAGAGATATAAGGTGTAAGGAGTAAGGAAAAACGTTGCAACTACAGCAATAGTGTGGAGGAAAAGAAAACCCAACCAAAGATTTTAATCCCATTGGTAGGTATGAATACAAACGGCTGTATAAAGTGTATAAAGAACATGGGTGGAACATGCGAGAATGGGGAGCCACAAAAAATAAAACGGCAAAAGAAGCAGCAGTCAAGTTATGAAAGGATTTCATCTATATTAATTGAATTTCATCTTGAGAGCCATGGAGGCAGCAGTGAAGCACTTTCAGGAAGTAGGAATAACACATTTATATTTTGAACATATAATTTAGAACTTTAAGCTTGGAGGGTCTTCAGTACTTGTTAACTGCTTGAATAAGACAGAGACATGAAGGATCTTTTACAATGATTACAGACTCAAACCAACTATCAATTTTTTTTCCAACTCAATTTTAAATCCCAACTCTGTCTTACCAGGTCAATCACTGTCATTGTCCTGTTGTTCATCGATTTGCTCCAGCGGGCCCAGTAACATTGTGAGACTTGTTACTGTGTTTGGCATATCGAATATGTCACGAGTAGCATGCCAGGCTTTGCCGTGCAGGCGAGATACTCTCGGTAGCTTGCCGGGCTCTCCGAGAGGGGCTGAGGAATCGAACTCGGGTCGGCCATGTTGGCTGCATGCAAGGCAAATGCCCTACCCGCTGTGCTATCGCTCCAGCCCACCAGGTCAATAACCTAAGGCAAATCAGTTGACTTCTATGTGCTTCTGATACTTTATCTGCAGTAATAGAAAAACAAGACATATATTGGGATTAAATAAGCTAACACATGTAAAGTGCCTATAAAAGTGCCTATAACAAAGTGCACAGATACTTTTTTTTTTTTACTATTATTATGTTGTGATTTCTGGCATGAGAATTGGGCTGAAAGAGGTGACATTTCCTAGGACAGATTTCACAGATACGAGGTAAAGAGAATTGGTTCATTTTGACTGTTGAACTTGCTAAGGCCCAGATTTGGATAGATGGTATTTGTATCCATGGGAGAGAAATATTCAATGATAAGATATTAGAGTTGGTGGGCTGGTACAATAGTATAGCGGGGAGTGATCTCCAAGCATTGCTGGGTGTGACCGAGGACCCCTTCTCCTAGCAAAAAAGGACTTAAGAGCCTTGACTTTAGAGCCTTAGGACCCCTAAAAAGGGTTGATGGAGAGAACTCCCACCTAGTGGAAATAAAAAGAAATTTTTAAATTTATAATAGAACTTCAAGGAGACAAGATAACAGATAATTGAAGACAGATCAAATAAGGTGAGGATTGAAAAGGAACAAGAGATCCTTTTCATTAAGATTACAGTGGTCTTTTCACGATCCAGATCTTTTGCATAAAGTGCAGGTGATGAATTTATCCTAGTTGCAAAGTAGAAAGCTAGGGTCAGCAGTCAGAAGGAAATGAAGTTAGGAGAAAAATTAAAATGTAAAAGAACTATGAATCCTGTGAATCCTGGTAGGAGTCAGGAGAGGAATTTCCTGACAATATGGTGCAAGCAAGTGAAGGCAGGACAGGAAGCAACCTAGACAGCAGATCGTCTTCTCTGGCAATCCAAAGGAGGGAAAAACAGTAACAAACAGCAATTGGTAATATATTGAATGATTTTGATAGATTCGAAGATTATTATTTTTTTTTTGCTTTTTGGGTCACACCGGCTATGCACAGGAGTTTCTCCTGGTTCATGCACTCAGGAATTACTCCTGGCGGTGCTCGGGGGATCATGTGGGTTGCTGGGAATCAAACCTAGGTCAGCTGCGTGCAAGGCAAATGCCCTACCCACTGTGCTATTGCTCCAGTCCCAAGATTCGAAGATTCTTAAAAACCTCCTGACATGCCCTCTGAGGTTAAGGTTCTGATTTGTATATGTGGAGTATGACAGGATAGCAAAGTGCTTAAAAGATGAAGGTTTATTCCCATACCCCCATTTTACTGAGATATAATTAACAGCATGTTTAAAAGCATGAACGACGTAATGAATAATGTACATACTGCACATTATTATCATGGTATTCCCATCATATGGCATATTTTCACTGCAGAAGCTTAAGAGGAAAGTATATACAGTCCTAACACAAAACATCCAAGCGTCACTTACACTGAAAAATTAATGACAGCTCAAGATGCTGGCTTTGGTCAGAACACAATCTTACAAAGGGTTCAGAATGGAGCCAGTGAATTTATTTATTTGTAAAACATCTCATCCAGATATTGTTCATACAGTATGAAGCAAACAGCAAATCTTGCATCTACTACAAATAGGCATTGTTCCTGCCATTTGGGAATTCATCATTTGAACTAGTTAACAGTGAGAAGAGCTCCATGAAAACATGTTGGGGAATGGAGAAAAAGCTCAAAGGGCTGGCGTGTGTATATTGTTCTGTTCTTTTGGTTTTTTGTTTTTGTGCCACACCCAACAACGCTCAGGGGTGACTACATTCAGAAATTACTCCTGGTGGTGCTTAGGGTATAAAACCCAGGTCAGCCATGTGCAAGACAAACACCCTATTCACTGCTCTCTGGTCCCTGGAGTGTATGCTTTGCATGCCAAAGGGGCTAATCCTGTCACTGCACTGTCCCCCAAACAGAAGTAACCCCCAAGCACTCAACTGAGTATAATACCTGAGCACTGCAGGGTAAGGAAAAGGGGAGGGAATGGGGAAAGAAAGAAAGTAATGAAAGGAGGATTGGAATTTGTATGAGGAACTAAGTTGCAATCCTAAATAAGGTAGTTAGGCTAGGTTTCATTAATAAGATGACTTTTGAGGGTCAGTGATAATTCAATGAGCTAAGTGCTTTGCATGCTGGAAGCCTGGTAAACACGGGTGAGTGACCTACCCTTCCCTCCCTTAAAAAAAAAGTTAATATTTCAAGCAAAGACTGAAGGAGATGAGGGAGTTAGGCTAATTAATTACTAGATGCACACGAATAGCTAAACAAAGAGGCCTTATTTGAGAACAACCGAGTCCTAAAGGATAGGAAAAAAGGATCACACTGAGAAGAAAAAAGGGATGTCTGCTTGAGCAAATCGATGAACAACGGGAGGACAGTGCTACAGTGCAGTTTTTTCATTTTCAAAGCGATATGTGCAGTATTGAGGCACAAGACATTTTCTTTATCCCTCCTGGTTCTTTCACACAACACAAATAATCAAGCATCAGATAAGGCAACAATAAAAAAAGTTCATTAATAATACAACATGTATGATTTCCATACACGAGAGGCCCAGAAAAAATAAGTCACCACATTGATTGAGATGCCACCGCTAAGAATTTAGCTAAAGAACGACACTGGGAACAGAGTAAGCGAAGAGAAGACACAGTAAAACAAAGGCAGGTTAGGGTTCTGCCCTCCCAACAGAGAAGCTATCGTCTTCCAGAAACATGTGCCTAGGGGAGAGGTTTTCATGTACTTGTCTCTCAGGAGTAAGCCCTGAGCTCTCCTAGGTATGACCCCCAAACCAAAAACAAAAGGGCCGGAGAGCCTCCAGAGGGGAAGGCGTTTCTGCCTCACACAAGGCCGACCAAGGTTCCATCCTCGAAACCCAGCGGTCCTCCGGGCCCACCGGAGACAGGAATAAGCCCGAGCACTGCCAGGTGCAGGGCATGAGTTGGGGGTCCAGAAAAAAGCACCTTCCGTATACCTCCCTTTAGCCTTCCCAGCGCCGCGCAGGGAATGAACATCTGCCAACACATTTGTGTCGTTTTTCCTCCTCCAAACCAGAGGTCCCGAAGCTTCCCCGACTTCTGCAGACGTCTGGTTGGCACCGCTGCCTTGACGATGCCCAGGTCAACTTCTCCACTCCTCGGTGCAGGCCACACTGTGCCCAGAAAGGGCCGCGGCAGAGGCGTCCCGCGCGAAGGCGCGAGTCCCGCGAAGACGGCGTCTCCGGGCTGGGGGAGCGCCCCGGGACCGGCCGGCGCCGGACACGCGCCTCTGGGGGCAGCCAGACCCCCGGCCTGACCCGTCCTGCAGCTGCGGGAGAGCTAGGCTTGAAGACCTGATCAAACTTCATTTTCTTAAAACTCTGCACCTCTCAACTATTTTTCTGCTTCGGGGCCACAGTCGAGGGTGCTCAGGGGCCGTACCTGGAATCAGGGATCAGTTTTTGAAAAAAATGAAACAAAACTGTTTTTATTTACCGACCCTTGCTCAGAAGGATGGGGGAGACAACATGACTGAAAAAAAACCTTGTGAGGAGAGAAAGCGAGGGGTGCAAGCCGCGGGTGACAGCCTGCGAGACGCCGCTCCGGAGAGCGCGGCGGGGAGCACCGGGTGCACCCAGACCCCCACCCCGGGGCCGCCGGGCGGCCGCCCCCAGTCTGCCCGGCCGGAAGGAACGGCGGGACGCCGAGTCGCCACCCACCTGCTGCTGCCAGAGGGTGCCGCCGCCGCGCGGGACAGGGCCGAAGTGCTCAGGCCCGTACGAACGCCGCGCGGACCACCGCACGCTGGGACGGAGGGCGGGGCGGCGGGGCCGGAAGTGCTTTCGAGGGCGGGGCGGCGGGGCCGGAAGTGCCTCTGAGGGCGGGACGGCGGGGCCGGATATGCCTAGAGGGCGAGGCGGCGAGGCCGGGAGGGGGCGGGACCGGATGTGCCGTCGGAAGGGCGGGTCAGTGGGGCCGGGAGTCCGGGAGGAGGCCCGTCAGCGGGACCGGATGGACCGGAAGGAGCGGGTCGGCGAGGCCGGATGTGCCGTCAGGGGCCGGGCGGCGGGGCCGTGCTCCTAACGCCCCGGCGCGTGCTCGCGCTCCCACAGTGGGTCCCAAAGGCGAGCAACGGTCGGCGGGAGGCGGCGGCGGAGCGGGCGCGCTCGGGGCTGCGCGCTTGCCCCGCGCCAGGAGTAGCAGACGCAGTTTGGCCGAAGGGCCGAGAAACCGCTGCAAGAAGGGAAAAAACCGGGCCCCGACAGGCGCTCTTCGTGTGAAGAACCGGCGCTGCTGTTGCGGCACGCGGGAAGGCACCGGGCACCGCCTCCACAGGGGGCGGAGGGCAAGGGCCTCGGGTGCTGTCAGGCCCAGCAGCAGGGACGCAGGCACGGCTACCCCGCCCTTGCAAGAGCGCTCTAGAAGGCTCCCGCTGGGCCTCGGCGCCCTACTGCTGCCCCCTCCTGGCCGCCAGGAGCACCCTCTGAGCACAGCCGGGGTGGCCCCCAAACAAGCCAAAAAGATTTCTTTTGGCTTCTCTGACCGAGTTGGAAGACGCGGGGTGGCTTTAGGTCATACGTATTTGGCAGTTTGCGCACTTCAATTTTGCAAGTGGCATTTCAGCCACATTCTAGTAGTAACCAAAAATTTCATCCGCACTCCCCTCCCCCACTCCACAGCCCTGCACTGTCAGCCTAGATCTAAGCAATGATGTTATAGACCCCCTCTCTTGAAGAGCAGACCCCCCAATTTATGGTTATCCATTTTCAGTCTTTCCCAGAAATCAATCTCTCCTTTTGTAAAAGTAGAATCCTCGAAGGCTCTGTGCCTCGATTATACTAGGTGACCTTCATCAGAGTTAAGGATGACTCTGCAATGTTTTCTCTCGTACGGAACGTAAGTCACCAAAGCAATGGATATAGCAAAAATAATTTTTCAAACCCATAACAAAGTTTCTGCCCCAATAATTCTTCATTATTGTTAAAAGTGGTTTTGGAGGTCAGAGAGATAATACAGTAGGTAAGCCATTTGTCTTGCAAATGGCTGATCAGATTTCGGTCCCTAGAGCCACATCTAGTTATCCCGTGCACCACCAGGAGTGTCTGCTGAGTAGAGCCAGGAGTAAGACCTGTGTACCACAGAGGCCTAAAAACACAACAAAAATGCTTTTGTTGAGTCACTGATGGCATTCTTGTTGCTAGATCATCAGACCCTCTAGTCTTTATCTAATTTTCAGTGTATTAACTCACTTCAAAGACGCGACCAAAATAAAAAGGCTCCGGGCAATCTTGATCATTACCCTACCTAGGTTTTCTACCAACCTAGTTTTTCTGCCAACTCCTCAATGTCCCTTTTCAGATTCTCTGCTATGACCAACTTTAAGTTGATTTTATCCTGCACTATACATTAGCTTTAAGCAATATCATTTATCTGTGTAGAACTTCACAATTACAGGCATCGGGAAGGGTGGGAAGGTATATTGGGATTCTTGGTGGTGAAAAATAATTACTGGTGAAGGGAAGGGTGTTTGGTTATTGTATGACTGAGACTTAAACCTGAAAGCTTTGTAACTTTTCTCATGGTGATTCAATAAATAAATTTAACAACAACAAAAAAGAACTTTACGATTTATCATTTTAGTTCCTCCTATACAACTTCTACTTGCCTTGGAAAGCTGAAATGTCCAAATACAATGTGTCTGAGCTCACTGTCAGCTACTTTGCCTCAACATGTATGCTTCAAGCCTGTCCCTCCCCACATGCACTGCCAAATCCCCTCCTGGACTGCAATCCCTTCTTGTTACCTGATCACCATCATCTCACTTGAAAAACCATACTATTGCAAAAATTTTGTCATGTCTTGACAATAGATTTCCCACTTTTCAAAATTGAAAATCAACTTTGTGGAGGCCGGAGAGACGGATGGGTGGGGAAGGCACCTGCCTGCATGCAGGTATTTCAGGTTTAATTTCAGACCAAATACAGTCTCCAGAGCACAGCCAGGCGTGATCCCTGAGCACTGCCAGGTGTGGCAGCCCCTCCAAAAACTCAAGTTGTTTGTTTAGGGGACCTTATGCTGCTATTTGTTTGGGAGGCATGATTTCTGCTATGTCTAAGAGTATTTTACTTTTCCTTCATGACACGTAATGGGTGTAACCAGATAAACCTAAGCTTCTTGTGGAAGAAGGACAAAGCAATGTCACCCTACATCTACCTACTGATGTTTTGTTTAGTTCCACTTTTTGGGTCACACCCGGGAATGCTCAGGGGTTACTCCTAACTCTGCACTCAGGAATTACTCCTGACAGTGCTCAAGGGAACTATACAGGATCAAGGCAGATGCCCTTCCCCATACTATTGCTCTGACCCATACTTTCTGACCTTCTATCCTTCCTGCTAGACAGCAGCCCAAAGACAGTGGCTATTCAATTCGCCCTCTATACCTAGCATCAAGCACAAAACCAAGATAGCAAAAGAATGATTTCTTTATTTTCCCAAGTATATAAACACTTTTGTTCCATAAATGATGAACACTTCATCATATGGATTTATGTTCCATTCAGTCATTTTTTTTACTCTAGGACCAATATTCCTGCAAATACATTTGTTTTTAGTATTTTTTCTGATACATGTAATATTTTATCTAAAATATGTGCTTTCCTCTTTGATTTTATGAATATTTGGGAGATTACTCAATTGGACATTAGATACAACAATTAAATATAAAAGTATACAAAATCACAGGGCTGGAGCAATAACACAACGGGTAGGGCGTTTGCCTTGCACACGGCTGACCCAGGTTCAATTCCCAGCATCCTATATGGTCCCCCAAGCACCGCCAGGAGTAATTCCTGAGTGCATGAGCCAGGAATAACCCCTGTGTAACGCCGGGTATGACCCAAAAAGCTAAAAAAAAGAAGTATACAAAAATCTTTAAACATATTATTATAGGTCACTGCATGTCCAGACATAAAATGGTTCTAATTTTATTTAGCATTACTTAGAATAATATTTATTTTAAAGTATAAGATATATCCACAAAAGTGGTAAGCTGATACATATAAAACTATAATTTCTAATACTAGATTGTTTTCTATTAATATTGATGGTATAAAGTGGTGGTTGTATCTGCATGATAAACTATTATACTTGGAAAGAGAGTTATTTTCTAACTGTCATGAATTCAACATGGGGAGAAAAATGTTATAGGAGAGGAAGAAGGAAAACCGTGTAAAGCTTCTGAAGGTATGACTTTACTGAGTTTTTGTGGAGTTTACCAACATATACACATATATATATTTTACAGAAAAGTGATAATACAAGAAAATGAAGTACCTATGTTTCTTTATCAAAATTAAGTTCTCATTTAATATGCCATTTTAGTGGAAAACAATTTTTGTTTTTTTGTTAATAAATACAATGACTTCATTCGACATCCATCATTTCTATTCCATCAATTTCTTTAATATATGCTACTGAGCCCAAGTTGTTCTCTGGATGAACTACCATACCAGTCTCTTCACTTCTTGTAAAGTGTTGTTGGTTTGGGTCTTCTAATCTTGCAGTTTTGAAATAAACGAGTTGCGAGTTCCAACTTACATTTCTCAGTCCTTTGCATTATGTGATCTTCCACTTTTGAATTCATATGCATAGGTGATATCTGAGTAGACAATTTACTAAGAGAAAACCCCATTGGGACAGTTGGATTAAATGCCACGGTGGTCTGCAGGTATTTCTTTAAGTAGTGGAAATATTTCTTCAACCTGGTTGCTTGGAGAGAAAACAATAACAAATAGAGCAGGAATTTTAAGTAACTTTATGGCATTGTTGTCTTGTAATAAAATATCATGGTAAGACAGACAAGAAGACCAAGCAAAATTGTCTTCCACCACTCAGTATTTACATTTTCTATGTGAGAAGTTTATATGTTACACATATTATTTGAAAGACTTTTTCTTTAAACTATAATAGAGCTTCTCTGCCTGGTAATTCATTATTTATTGTGTGTGTGTGTGAGAGAGAGAGAGGGAGAATGAGAGATTGAGTGTGGAGGTGTGAGTGTGTGTGTGTGTGTGTGGGGGGTGACCTCAGGCAATGAAACCAGGTCCTTACACATGTGATGTATGTGCTCTACCAGTGAGCTGTATACATAGCTTTGGTTAATCACTAGTGAATTAAAAATTAATTATGGAATCCTATGTACTTTACTAGGGTTTCTGCAAAAAATAAAGATGCTCATGTGCATGGCCAGTAATTTGATCCCTGCCCCTTTCCCTTTATAAGCATTGGTGTAGCCCCAACTCTGGCCTCTGTAAAACTGTCTGTTGTAACTGTAAACATTATCCTGTGTAATATTATACTATCAAAATATTTTTAAAAAAGGACATAATTGAAGGTAGAAATTATGTTGGAGACTTTTCGACTTCCTTCTCAATAATTAATATAATAAAAGACATAAAAGGCCTATTAGGGCTAGTTAACCTAATTAAATGTAATAGACATATAAACTACTCAATAACTACATACACACTCTTCCAGGACATTTTAGGCCCTACATTGACTCTCATTGTATTACAATAGCTAGACACCAAAATCTACTTTGGTGTAAGGGTATGGTATAACACTACTGTGTTCCTGAAGTATTAACAGTATTGTTAATTGTAGTGCTACATGATTATTCCCATAGATACAGAAACTGATCTATAATTTCAAGGCAACTGTTCATTTCTTGGTAGAAATTGGTTTTGGTAGAAACGCCCATCCTGAAATGCATAGGAAATCTCAACGTGCCACGAATAGCCAAAGACAACTGTGAAAAATAAGAACAAAACTGGAGGACTCATTTTCTGTTTGAAAACTATAAGGCTATGGTAATCAAAATGATAAAGTAACAGCATATTCACAGGTAGAGACCGTGGTTAGAAAAAAGCTGAGGAAGAAACCTTTGCATATATAGTCAGTCTACTTTTTTGTTTTCACTTTGGGCCACATGCCGGGTCCTTGTGTGTTATCCCGCTTGTTGCTCAGGGTTGCTTCGTGTGATGCCTGGGGACTGGCACCCAGGCAAAACTTGGACTCAGCCCTTTAAAAGATCTTTTCTGCCGCTCTTGTTACTTATAAAAAAATTTTTTTCTTTTAAAGCAGCTCTAAAGTTTCAAGTTGTTTCCAGGTATCTCAGAACAAAGACTACACATATTTAAAGACGAAAAGCCAAAACTTCCCAAACCCTGCGTTGCAAAATTTAGAACCGAGAAGAACAGAGGATTAGCGGTTGGTTACTAGGAGACGGGACGCGCGGCGGGCGCGCGGGGGCAGCGCGGGTGCCCGAGGCCGAGGCCTCCCCAGCCTCGCGGAGCCGGCAGGTGGTGCACGTGCGCGTCTACGAGCGTGGGTGCGCGCGCACGGCTGGGGGCCAGTCCAGGAACGCGCATGGCGGGGGGCGGGGGGACAGTCCAGGGGCGCGCACGGCTGGGGGGGGCAGTCCAGGGGCGCGCACGGTTGAGGAGACGCTCGTCCAGGGTCGCGCACGGCTGGGGGGGGGTGCAGTCCAGGGGCGCGCACGGTTTGTGGGGAGGGCAGTTCAGGAGCGCGCACGGCTGGAGCAGTCCAGGGGCGCGCACCGGGCTGGGGTACGGGCAGTCTAGGGGCGCGAACGGTTTTGGGGGAGGGCAGTCCAGGGGCGCGCACGGCTGGACGAGGTGGTGGGCGCCGTCCATGGGGCGCGCAGGGCTGGTAGAACCTCCCCCCCCCCCCGCCCAGTCGGTGGGCGAGTCGGGGCGCACGCACGGCTGGTAGGACCCCCGCCCCCGGAGTGGGTGGGCGAGTCCGGCGCGCGCACGGCTGGTGGGAGCCCGGGGAGGGTGGGTGGGCCTGTCCGGGCGTGCGCACGGCTGGTGGGCCCCCCCTCGGAGGGTCGGTGGGCCGTTCCGGGCGCGCGCACGGCTGGTAGTGCCCGCGAGAAGCGGGCGCGCGCACGGGAACTGAGAGCGCGCGAGACGGAAGCGTCGAGAAGGCGCCGGGGAGGAGGAGGACGAGCCCCCCTCAGGTAGGCGGAGCCGCTAACCGCCTCGGGCGGGGCCTCGGGCGGGGCCGGGGGCGGGGCCGGGGCGGCCGGGACGGGCGGGACGGGCGGGACGGGCGGGCAGTGCCGGGATGAGCGGCGGGGAGGACGGCGGGGCCGGCCCGGGCCGGGGGCCGGCGGCCCAGGTAGACGCGGCGGGTCGGGTGTGGCGGGCGGGGCGGGGGCGGCTGCAGGCGGGGCGGGCCGGGGCCGGGGGCGACCCCCGGCGGGTGTCTGCTCGAGCCGCCCTACCTCGCGTCGGTTCCCAGCTCCGGCTGCCCCGGTTCCCATGGCGACCGCGACGCTTCCCGCCGCGCGCGCGGCTCTGCTCGGGTCCCGGGGGTCCCGGGGGCTGCGGGGTCGGGGTCCAGGGGTCTGCGAGTTCGGGGTCCGGAAGGCTGCAGAGCCCTCGGGGTCCTTGGGGGCGTGGGGTCCTGCGGGGGCTGGGCCCTGGGGGCTCGGGGTCCTGTAGGTGCGGGGTCCTGGGGCCACGGGGTCCTGGGGCTTGCGGGACTCGGGGTCCAGCGGCCGCGGCGCGGGGTCCTGAGGAATTTACCGTTTCTAAGCGTCTGGAGCCTGAGCTGAGGGATGGGGAAGTCGGAAAATCGGGATTGGACCTGGCCTTTCCAGAGGACCAAACACCCACTTCTCAGCCTTTTTTTTTTTTAAACAGATTTTGAATCGGGGGACACAAGGCATTTGCATGAAAATCTCATTTAATTTCACTGGGAATATACACATGTACACACAGGAAAGGCAGCATTAGTCGGCTTTTCTTGGGAAAAAAATATTTAAGGCTTAAAATGAACAGTAAGGTGGTCTTGGGTCTGGTACCTGCAAACACAGTCTCCCTTAGTCAGAGCCTAGGATCCCGACGTCTAGGATGTTTGCACTAAGAATTGCCGCAGAAGTAAGGATTTTACTTCTCCCAGGCCCTTTATGCTCAGGAGTCTTTTGTTTATTTGGTAGATTTTTGGGCCACCCATCGATGCTCAGGTTTGCTCCTGGCACTACGCTAAGGGATCATCCTTGGCAGTACTTGGAGCTGCATGGGATGTACAAGGCAAACTCTACCCAGTGCACTATTGCTCCAACCCTCAGGTCACGATATTTCTTCTTTAAAATTTCCGAGCATTTCAAATAATACCCTTTTTATTTGGTACTTGTATGGAGAGCAATAGAAGAACAAGTGCCTTGTATTTAGAAAGAGTACAGTTATAAATAGAAAGGTCACACCATTCAAATATGCCTAACTGTAGAAGAGGGTTCCTTTTATATTTTAGTTTATCAGCGAACAAACCCGGAAGACGCATTAATGAAATATCTGTTTTTAAAAGTGTGCCTTGTCATTTAATGGCAGTTTTCAAAATACAATCTATTTTGGTTAAATCTCTGGCTCTTTTCTAGTCGCTTAGTTTGGGGGTAAGTCGCGCATAAAGCGCAGTTAGAGCAGCTGTTACTTTTTGTTTTCTCTTCCCATCAAACACCCCAGAGGAAGCTAGTATTCTCATTTATGATAGCTACATTCTGGCTTTTCTTTGTACTTTTTCCTTTGAGGATGAATATGTACAATCTTGCATGACTTGTTTTTGAACTTAATATAAGTGGAATTGTAATATTCCTTGCATTTTACTTCTTAATGTTTTTAAGACTTATTCTTGTGGCTTTTTTCCACTCTGGAGAAGCCCAAGTTCTCTCTTGAGCCCTTACCTCTTTCTTTCTCTCCTCTCACATTTCTCTAAATTTTTTTCAATAAAAATTGTTCTTACACTAAAAAAGAAAATTCTGATCAAAAAAAGGAATTATCCTTGTTATTGCTTGAAGTTATTTTGTTGTTTAGTGTCCCACTGTAAGAGTACACTTCAGTTTATTTACTCTCCTCTTAGTGTACATTAAGGTTTTTACAGTTTTTTATTATTAAGAGCAACACTAACTTTGTACTACATGATAATCTTTTGAACCGAGCAACACTAACTTTGTACTACATGATAATCTTTTGAACTGAGCTAGAAGGGCTCGTAGAAAGGCTGGAGTGATAGCCTAACGAACAGAGCACCTTTGTCCACAGGAATTCCTGTCCTGCCACCAGTACTCCCTGGAGCATCCCTGGAACTGAGCCCTTGAGCACTGCTGAGTGTGGCCCAAAAGCAAAAAATAAAATGAAGTAACTCTGTCCTTTCAAAAGAAAACAATGAGTAAACTAATTTGTTTATAGAGAATGTTTTGGAGGTGTCATGTTGGAGGGACGTTAGGAGAACTGGGAAGAAACTAACTGAATGCTTCGGGGGTTAGCTTTAGTTTAATAAATCCTCACTACTTTAGAGTAGTCTTTGGAGACAGAGAAAGAAGAAAAGTTCCAGTCATATTGGTGGTGGGAAATGTACACTGCTGAAGGAAGGGTGTTGGAACTTTATATGACTGAAACCCAATTATGAACAACTTTGTAACGTTTATCTCAGTGACTCAATTAAAAAAAAAGTTGCCAATGGACTAGCCAAGTATGGACCAGCTAAACTTAGAAATGTAAGTATTGCAGCCCTACTTAAATAAGAATTTGCATTTTTAACTAGATTCCCAAATAATTAATGGTTGAAATTTGAAAAGTACTGTTATAGTTAAGAAATTTGATACTGCTGGGGCTGGAGCAGGTAGGGCATTTGCCTTGCATACTGCTGACCTGGGTTTGATTCCCAGCATCCCATATGGTCCCCTGAGCACTACCAGGAGTAATTCCTGAGTGCAGAGCCAGGAGTAACCCCTGTGCACCACCGAGTGTGACCCAAAAAGAAAAAAAAATAAACTTGATACTGCTATTTTAAGTCGTTTTATTGTAACTAGGAACACATTTTTTAATAGAAACTAATAAGTGGCAAAGTGATTAGGGTTGAGCCCATAAAGACTTAAATTATTCTTAATTTGAAATACTCTAATGAACTATGGTGCTGAAGTCCCATATGAGGTAGCAACTGCTAGAATGAAGAAGAAAAAAGCAGAATTGTGCCTTAAGGAAAGGAAAATAAAATTGTCAGACCACGAAGTACTAGCTAAGTACTGTGTGAAGTATCATACAAGATCAGTGTCTGGTAGATAACTAATTTTCCTAACCTAGTTGTTTTTTAAGTTGTTTTTTAGACTAACAACTGTGTTGCAAGGAAAGATCTGTAGCAATTTCTTTCTTCCCCAATTTAATGGTAGCTGTGATCCAGGGAAAGAAAGAATCTATCTTGAGTGTCATCGTTTCTAAGATATATTGTCAAGTGGAAAAAGCACAATGCAAAGTAACATAGAACACTTTGAAAATTTTTTTAGCATTTCTTACTTTGCACATGCATACGTGTATAGGGTAAATTCTTAGAAATGAAATCACTTGCACAGAGGTTGTTTACTTCATTCAATGTGATATCTTCCATTTCCAACCTTGTTGCAGTAAATTGTGTGATTTCATTGTTCGTAGTTTCATAGTATATTCAGCATATATGTGTGTGTGTGTATATATATATATACACACACACACACACACACACAATGGCGTAGTATTCCACTGTGTATATACATCATAGTGTTCCATTTTGGTATACATCTTTATAATCCATTCATTTGTCATTGGACACTTAGATTGATTCCATATCTTAGCTATTGTATCCAGAGCAGCAGTGGATAATGGTGTACATATATGTCCACTTGAGAGTTTTTATGTCCTAGGGGTGGGTGCCACAAAGTGGAATTGCTGGTCATATGGCATTTCCATTCTAAGTTTACTGAGTACTCTCCATACTGTTTCCCACAGGGGTTGTACCACATATAGCATTCTCACCAGCAGTGGATGAGAGTTCCTTTTTCACAGAAATTATTTGTACTATATTTGATATGTGCCATTCTCACTCGTGTGAGATGGTATCTCATTGTCATCTTGATTTGAATTTCTCTGATGATAAGTGATGCTGAGTATTTTTTCATGTGCCAACTAGCCAACTGCCTGTCTTCTTGTGAGACATGTCTATTTATTTCTTTCCCCCATTTTTTTGATAAGTTTTGAATTTTTAGTTGCTGTTGATTTTTTTGAGTACTTTATATACTTGGATATCAAACCTTTATCTGATGTGTTGAATGCAAATATTTTTTTCCGTTTCAGTTAGTGTCTTTTAGTTTTACCCCATGTTCCTTTTGCCATGCAGAATCTCTTTAATTTTATTTAGTCCCATTTGCTTATTTTTCATTGTGCTACTTTTCCCAGTGGTATCAAATCACTGAAGATTTCACTTCAGATTTTGAAGTGCCTATATTTTCCTCAGTGTCCTTTATAGTTTCTGGTTTGCTCTCAAGGTCTTTGATCCACTTTGAATTGACTTTTGTGTGAGGTGTGAAATATGGTCTAGCTTTAATTTCTTACTCGTAGTTGTCTAGTTTCTCTGTCACTATTTGTTGAAGAGGCTATGTTTACCCTATTTCATGTTCCCAGCTCTCATTGAAAATTAACTGCCCATATATTTGGGGTTTTATTAAGGTAAAGGTAAAGGCCCTCCCGTTGATCGTCGATTTGCTCGAGCGGGCCCAGTAACGTCTCCATTGGAGACTTTGTTGTTACTGTGTCTGGCATATCGAATACTCTCGGTAGCTTGCCGGGCTCTCCGAGAGGGGCGGAGGAATCGAACTTGGGTCGGCCATGTTGGCCGCTTGTAAGGCGAACGCCCTACCCGCTGTGCTATCGCTCCATTTTATTCTGACCCATTGATCAGAGGATCTATCTTTTTTCTAATACCATGCAGCTTTATAATACAGTTCCAAAATAGATAATAAAATACCTCTCAGTTTTCTTATTTGAAAACAAAATTATAAGAAAGTATATTTGAGTGAAAGCCCTTTAGCTGATGAAAAAGTGTAAAACAAAAGTATATCTGAAAGCAATCTTTGAAATCTATTGACTATGCAGGAAATCACAGCTTTTTATAAATTATTTTCCCCCTTTCATTCCCGTTGTCTTTGTTGTTGATGATGTGGTGACATGTCTAGCAGTGGTCCCCACAGTTCTCAGGAGTCGCAGGTCACACTCAGCCACGGTCCTTCCCGAGGTTGAACTTCAGTGGCATTTGCTTACACAGGCCTGGGTAGGGAGGGCACACGGTTAGGCTGTGCGTCCTGGGCTTGCAGAGCACTCACAGACGCTGACGGCCCTTGTCACAAGCTGCATTTGACGCCCAAGATACTTACATGTCGTTTTAGTTGTGATGATTGCCAGGGTTCCCACCTCTTTGTTGTGGCTGCAGGGTGGCTGGAGATTGCTGTAGCACCAGGGCTGCAGACAGAGCTTCTAGGCTCAGTCAGAGTTGCCAGGAATAAATAGGCTGAGGGCATGTGAGACCCCAGGGATTTTTTTTCATTTTTTATAATTTTACTTATTGAATCACCGTGAGAGCAGTTACAAAGCTTTTGGGTCTAAGTCTCGGTCATACAATGAAACACCCGTACCTTCACCAGTGCCCATTCTCCACCACCAAAAACCCTAGTATACCCCCATCCCACACCCTCCCCCCACCTTTGGGGCAGATGATTTCCACATTACTCTCTCTCTACTTTGATCACATTCAATATTTTGACACCAGACCCACCATTATTATTTGAGATTTTACCCCAACACTCAGATATGCTGAAAAGGCAACAATAGGCAATTTGTGTTCTATTGCTGGTTATGAATAACATATGATGTCGCGCGGCTGCAGTAGGACCATGTGATTTTGAAATTCTGAAATTTTAACACTTAAATCTGGAGGGATTTCTGCCAAAAGTCACTGGGTTTCAAGATTTGCTCCTGAGTCTCTGGGATCATGACTGTTGAGCTGCTTGATCAGGAGCCAGAGAGGCCATTCATGGGCGATGACTTGTGGTCTCATTGGGGTGGGGAGGACAGGCCCGGCTCCACCCCATCCCGTGAAGCCCAACAAGTTTCGTCACTGCAGGCCCAAGCTTAACTGTCCAATGGCCTCTGGAGGATGGCAGCCACTGAGCCGCCAGGGGGAAACAGGCAGAGGGACAGCACCCTTTCCCCCCTGGGGTGGCTTGGCGACAGTAACCTACTGCAGGGTCCGGACACATTTCTGCCAAAAGCCGCTGGGTTTCAAGATTTGTTTCTGAGTCTCTGGGATCAAGGCCGTTAAGCAGCTTGATCAGGAGCCAGAGAGGCCATTCGTGGGCGATGACTTGTGGTCTCGTTGGGGAGGGGAGGACAGGCCCGGCTCCCCCCATCCCATGAGGCCCAACAAGTTTCGTCACTGCGGGCCCAAGCCTGACTGTCCAAAGGCCTCTGGAGGATGACAGCCACCGAGCCGCCAAGAGGGAGCAGGTGGAGTGACAACACCCTTTCCTCCCTGGGGTGGCCCGGCGACAGTAACATACTGTGGGGTCCAGACGCATTTCTGCCAAAAGCCACTGGGTTTTGAGATTTGTTTCTGAGTCTCTGGGATCATGGCCGTTAAGCAGATTGATCAGGAGCCAGAGAGGCCATTTGTGGGGGATGACTTGGGGTCTCGTTGGGGTGGGGAGGACAAGCCCGGCTCCACCCCCATCCCATGAGGCTCTGTGTGTCTCGTCACTGGGGGCCCAAACCTGACTATCCAGTGGCCTCTGAAGGATGGCAGCCACTGGGCCGCCAGGGGGAACAGGCCAAGGCACGAAACCTATTTCCACCTGGGTTGGCCCAGCACCGGTAACCTACTGCAGGGACCGGATGCATTATTACCTAAAGCCGCTGGTTTCCAAGATTCGTTTCTGAGTCTCTGGGATCATGGCCATTAAGCAGTTCAATCAGGAACCAGAGAGGCCTTGTCTCCAATTATATAGCTGAGCCGGAGGTGGTTTGTGGGTGTTTCCCACATACCTAACTTTTGGCTGTTTACTTTCTTGGTAAACTTTGCCCCAAGTTTTTGGGGTCTGGCCAAAGGCACAGCAGCAATTTTGGGGTATCTGGAAGACTGAAGGCGCCATCAGGCTGCTGATGCACTTGCCTCACAGGTACAGATTAACCTGCTGGTGGCACCATACCCCCACCCCAGGGATTTTGAACTTGGAACCATCAGCTTGTAAGCAGGTTTTGTAATCCACTGTGCTATTCCTCTGGGCCCCATAAAGCCATTTTAAACTAAATACTTTTGTATTATTCCCATTCTTTCCCGTAGGGTACCACCAAGGAATATGAGTTTGGTCTAGGGGCTCCAGTTTCTGAAGCTGAAAAATACCAGAATACACTCCAGCTAGAACAAGAAGTGAGAAATCAAGATAAATTCATCTTTACCCTCAAATTACAGGTTATGTTTAGTTTCTTTATTTTTTTTTCCTGAATTTGGGATGGGATCTATTTTTAAATAAGGCAATTTTAAGTCAGGAAGAATAAATACCTACTTGGTGCTTATATAAATCTTATGGGTCTAAACTATTCCATTTTTATTCTAGGCATTTTGATAACACAGATTCAAAGTCAGTACAAAGTATGCCAGGTGTTGTATCAACTGCTTTCAAATATATAATGTTATTTAATAGATCCCAATCTTGTGAAAGAGTCATATTTTTCCATGTTATAGACATGGAAGCTGAAGATTTCAAGTGGTTAGGGAATGGTATTTGACCATTGTGTGTCAGAGCTTGGACTTCTCTGAATTCCTAAGTTCACTAGGATTTGAAGTTAATTCCTGATCTCTATGTTGTTTCTGGTCCTATGGTGCCTGACATGTGATAGAGCTATAATAAAGGCCACTTAGAAGAAAATTCCTTGTCTCAGATGATGAAGTAGATTTTATTTCCCTTAAATCTTGAATAAAGTACAAGTAAAATTGTGCTTGTAAAAATCCTGAACATTCTATATAAAAATAACACAACTGCGTAAGTCCGGAAGGAGGAAGACTGGCTAGGACCTCAAAGACATAAGGAGTTACTGCATATATGGATTCCTGAACTTTCTATTTTTGCTCCGATATAGTCTAATCAGTGTGTTGAAACACACACACACACACACACACACACACACACACACACACCTGGCAGTGGAAATAGTTGGTGCAAGCAAAGAAAGGTCTCAGAGAAGTCATCTCTGTCAGACCAAAGAAATAATCTAGTGGCAAACTATTTTTAAGCAATAGCTGTCTACTTCAAGCCAAGACCACGAACAAACCGCAGCCCTATTTGTGCCAGCAAAGATGGAGGAGAAGCTACACTTGCACCCCTGCCTGGCTTTAGTAGAGACTACAAATACATCTTGCTGCGCTGCCCTCCCTCTAAGTCTGCCAACCCATCACGGTGCTCTAAAAGAGGGTTGAGTGAAAAATCAAGACTTTCATTTCCACCAAGGAATAAGGAGATCTTTAACTCCATGGGGTCAGTGAATACCATAGTAATAGTCCTTCATTTCCTTCATTTCTTCCTCGCTAGGATGGTGTTACGGGAAACCTATTGCAGTTTGGTCTGTTACCACACCCAGAAGTGTCGAGGGTATGCACTCACTGTGAGAGTGTCTGACCCAAGATGTTGTGGCTTCAGCACAGGCACTAACCTTACCTAGCAATAATTAGCAGTGTCAGCAGAGACCTTGGAGAGCTATAGGGTTTCCCTCACACTTAGCAGTAGCAAAGCAGTGTCCTCCTATGTTCAATGAAGTGGTGATAAACAGAAAGCCTTCTAAAATAGAAAGGTTAGTCCCAGAATGCAAGATCCCAACTAGAAAAAGACAAATCCCTTCTCCTATGATTTGAAGGTATCATAGAAAGACCCTATCTTCTACTTAAATTTCTTCGATAGCCATGTCCACTTGCCAACATACCAAATTCCACAGGATGGATATGTCGTTCCCAACGTTCTTCCTTTCGAAATCCGACACGCCATTTCATCGGTAAAGAAACTAACAGCACCCGGCCCAGACAAGGTCAGACCTGAACACCTGAAGAACCTGCCATCAGTACTCATCAATACACTGGCTCGGCTCTTCACTTGCTACCTGTCTGAACGCAAGGTTCCGTCCCAATGGAAAACCAGCAGGACCGTACTATCGTTCAAGAAGGGAGACATCCATGACATTGGCAACTATCGCCCGATCTGCCTATTGTCTGTCATCTACAAGTTGTTCACTCGAGTCATCCTAAATAGGATTGGCAGAACACTAGATGAAGGACAACCACGCGAGCAAGCCGGGTTCTGCAAAGGATTCAGCACCATCGACCATATCCACACGATAACCAAACTCATTGAGGTTTCTCGGGAGTTCAAGATGCCGCTCTGTTTAACGTTCATTGATTTAAAGAAGGCCTTTGATTCTGTTGAGACAGAAGCAGTCATTGAAGCCCTAGCCAATCAGGGCATTCAAGCCCAATACATCAAGATTCTCCGTGAGCTGTATTGCGGATTCACTACCAGGATCTCACCATTCTACAAAGAAGTGATCGTTGATGTCAAGAGAGGGGTTCGACAGGGTAATATCGTTTCACCGAAACTCTTCAGTGCCACCCTCGAGAACATCATGCAACGACTGGAATGGGAAGGAATGGGAGTGAAGATAGATGGTCGGCAATTACATCACCTCTGCTTTGCTGATGACATTGTTTTAATAACACCAAACATCAGCCAAGCGGCACAAATGCTGGCCGACTTTGACCGTGAGTGTGGAAAGGTAGGACTACAGCTGAATCTTATGAAGACAGTGTTTATGAGAAACAGCCTCGTTCCTGACGCCCCATTAGCTCTCAACGGAACGACCATCTCTGAATGCAACAGCTATGTGTACCTAGGTCCAGAAGTCAACATGACAAATGACCTGGCACCCGAGCTGCGCAGGAGGAAGAGAGCGGCTTGGAACGCCTTCAAGAACGTCGAAGAAATAGCTAAGAGGATGAAGAACCTCCGGCTCCGGGCACATCTCTTTGATTCCACTGTTCTTCCTGCATTAACATATGCCTCAGAGACCTGGGCCCTACGCAAACAGGATGAGAACGCTATTTAGGTCTCCCAAAGAAGAATAGAAAGAGCTATGCTTGGAATATCACGTTTCACTCAAATGAGAGAAAGAATCTGGAGTTCCGACATCCATCGACGATCAAGAATCAGGGACGCTGTCTCATTTGCCAAGGTGTCAAAAATCAGATGGGCTGGTCACATAATGAGATTTAAAGATGACCGCTGGACTAGAGCTGTTACTGACTGGATTCCACAGCATGTCAAAAGACCGCATGGCCGCCCACCTACCAGATGGTCAGACTTCTTCGTCAAGATCATGAACGATCGGTTTGAGGCTCTTCATGTTCCCAGAGCGAACAGATGCCATTGGGCTACATTAACACGCGACAGGGACAAATGGAGACCTTACTGGCGGCTGCTCGAGCAAATCGACGACTAATGGGAAGTTACGTGATTAAGTGATTAAGTGATAGAAAGACCACAGTTTCAATAAGAAAAGGGAAATGTTTGAACAAGCAATTCTGAGCAAGCTTGAAATACGCCAAAGACAGAAATCTCCGTAAAGAAATAAGAAAAAAAAATGAAATTTTTGAAAGCAGTCAAGTAGGTGAATGGATACACAAACTGTGGTACTTCCACACAGTGGAATATCACTGTATATCATAGTACAGTGAAATACCTGAGTACCATGAGATGGAGCCCAGCCCTTTCACCCCAAATAAGAATAAATAGGAAAGGGTTCAGGGAATTGTCTAGTGGCAAGAGTGAAGTTGCTGGTTTGATTTCTAGTACCTGGTAAATGATGTTGAACGGTGTCACTGTGTCTCTGCTCTCTTGGACCCACAACACTGCAGCAGAGCATACCATCTTTGAAATATCACAGCCAAGTATGTGCCGGCACCACAACTGAAACGTAATCCCCCACGAGCCCTAAGCTGAGAAGAAGTGTGGAAGCTGTGGTCAGGTGTGATCCTTGTCACACGTGTGTGTGAGCATCACAGTAAACCCCATAACCAGAAAATGCATGAGCACCACAGTTGGTTCTATCTCAAGGCCAGAGAAACAATCCAGGGTAAAAGTGCCTTGTCTGTGGCTAACCCTATTTCAGTCCCTGGCACCACGTACCCCTTCAGTTCCACAATCAAGCTTGCCATCCCCAGTCATCACAACAGCAATAAAGAAAGGGAAAGGAGAAAAGATCACCAAGTCATGAAAAATCTAGAAGGAACTTTGAAGAAAATTGGTCGGTAAAAAAAGAAATCTGAAATTGTTACATCAGGCCAACCCCTGTTTAGTCCCTGAGTACTGTCAGGGGTGATTCCCTGAGTTCAGAGCCAGGAGTAAGCCCTGAGCACCTTCCGTGATATGTACCCTGTGATATATAAATTTTTTTTTTCTTTTTGGGTCACACCCGACGATGCACAGAGGTTACTCCTGGCTCTTTACTCAGGAATTACTCCTAGTGGTGCTCGGGGGACCATATAGGATGCTGGGAATCGAACCCGGGTCGGCTGCATGCAAGGCAAATACCCTACCCACTGTACTATCGCTCCAGCCCCTGAATTTCTGGAAAAGATAAAACATGGGACAGACAGTAGAAATACTTCCAGGGTTAATAAGTAAAATAGCAGAAATCCAAAACCGCGCAGCTGCAATAGCGGCCATGCAACATCATTTAATTCTTGAACCCAGCTGTAGAAAGCAAATCATTTCACAATGCTTTTTCAGCATGTCTGATGGGGGGGGGGGTAAACTCTAAATAATAATGGTGCATCTTTTATTGAAACAATGAATCTAGTCAAAGTAGATAGAGTGTTAACTAGAATTCATTTGCCTCACAGGCATGGGGGGGGGGTTATTGGGGTTCTTCGTGGTGAAAAATAAGTATTGGTAAAGGGAAATGTGTTTGATATTTGTATGACCGAGACCAAAACCTGAAAGCTTTGTAACTTTTCCCACAGTGATTCAATAAATAAATATATTAAAAAAAACACATGGGACAGAAAAATTGACTGTTTTTCAGAGATTCACAGGGAGGAAGGGTAGACTATATATCACAGTGTGATACAGCAGTGATGTATGACAATATCATATATTTGTCAAAAGCCACAGTTCAACCCAAAAAACTAATATAAACTATACAGACTGGTTGTTAATTGCATATACAGCAAGAAAGATAATTCAATCTGAAGTACCTTTTTTTTTTCTTTTTTCTTTTTGGGTCACACCCAGCGACGCACAGGGGTTACTCCTGGCTCTGCACTCAGGAATCACCCCTGGCGGTGCAGGGGACCATATGGGATGCTGGGAATAAAACCCGGGTTGTCCACGTGCAAGGTAAATGCCCTACCCGCTGTGCTATTGCTCC